TTTGGGTCACATCTTCCTTGTTACCATAGCAACGGTGATTTTAATGCTTGAAAAGTGTGAGATTTGATTATTGATAACCCTGTCAAAATTAATTACAGAATCAAACTATGTTTTTCTTAATTTCAATATATATGGGAGATTTAATTTTTCCCATGTTCATTTTAAAGCATTGGGGCCTACTTTGCTTTGTTTCTACCAAATGCTGTAAAATCAACATGATTTTTATAAATATTTTACACGAAAACGCAACCAAACTCTATCATAACCATACATGCAATAGAAACTACGAGATTTGAAGTTATAAATCCAATAATAAAAAATGGTAGTTGGGTACTCTATGACAAATAAATTGATTTAGAATGTACCACAAATATGAAAACGCGTGAACGATTATCTCCCTTTTGTGGAACTCTCCTGCTGATAAAGAACAGAAAGTTGCTGTTGCATTTGTGTCAAAATAAACTTGTTTTAAATGAAGTTGTTAGTTGGATTGATTTTGTATCTTTCTTTTGTAGGTGGAATCAACTTCAGACGACAACTTTTCCCAACACCTTGTGAAAGGCATCTGAATGCCAGGATTCTCAGGAGCATGAAGATAGTCCATTACATAGAAGGAAGACCTTGATTATGTATCTTGATGCCATTGGTGAAAAGGCAGAGGTCTAACACTGACTATGAAGAAAATGACTTAACAGATGAAGGGAAGATGAGCAATTTGAATCAGATTTCTGATATGGCTCTTAAAGCAGTGAACTAAAAACATTTTCTTACTAAGTTTAAGATTTTGATATCAAAGTTTTTGGAAGGGGGATATAGGAATCACCCTGTTTGTTTGTCCATCTGTCTGTGGACAACACTTGGATTATACTGCTCTAGCTCTAGTTGGTTAAAATAGATAATATCTAAAATGAAATGTGTCATACTTCTTGTTTACTGTGCATAAATGTACTTTGAAGAACATACTGTATAAGTAGAATTTTTAGCGAGGATTTAATTTTGGCATTATTAGAGAGGGTGCTGACATCGCTGAAATTGAATATTGCTATAAATTAATGTCTTATTATTTGTAATAGCTTCTGTAGTAAACATTTTAAAATCGCTAAAATTACTTCTGGCTAAAAATAAAATACCAGACTTTGGTAGAAATCGCTAAATTTGCATCTCTCAGTTGATTCGATACGCAAGAGCATGCTCTACGTATGAACAATTTCTTAAACGAGGTAAATTATTGACAAGCAAGTTGATGAAACAAGAATATCAACAGTCTCGTTTAAAGTCATCATTTCTTAAATTCTATGGTCGATACAATGACCTTGTCAGCAAATACAATTTATCATTGAATGAAATGCTGACTGACGTTTTTCATACAAATTGTTAGTCCATTATTTATACACTGAATTGACTACGGATTTTTTCCGTTATTTCCTGATTATGACAACATGCACACGGCGGGTGTGACCGGTCGGCAGGGGATGCTCACTCCTCCATGGCACCTGATCCCACCTCTGATGTTTCGGAGGTCCGTGTTTGCTCTGCTCTTATTTTGTATATTGTTTAATGGACGTTGAGATTGAATACTGTTCGTTATTTCCATATCCTTCGCTAAAATTTCCACTTATATGATATTATTATTATCTTTAGCAAAATATTTCTGTAAAATATTTGACTGTACACTTCAGAAAAAATTCAGTCTCAGAATCAAGTACAAGATATGCTGTAATGGTGCCTAGTTGTGTCGCCTGCATAGCAAGGGGACTCTTAGGGATCACTTCTCCATTGTCTGTCAGTCTGACTAGCTGACCATTAGTCTGTCTGTCAAAATTTGATATGTCATTCCTGAGACACACATTTTCAATGGAAAACTCTTGTTTTATGTTCATATCTGTGATACTTTTAGTGAGCATTGATATTTGACCAGTTGATTGGTCTTACAGAGTAAAATAAGATACAACTTGAAATATAAAGTTGCTGTAAACTACATTTTCACAAGCCTTGTTGATGTTTAGGTTTATTTTCATTTGAATAAGTATAAGGTCATCTTGTGTTTAACAGACACGACTTCTCATTATAAACTGTACCCACTGTAAACGAAGTTTGGGGGGATATACAGTGAAACTTGTCTAATCGGACATGCTATGGGAGATGAATTTTGTGCCAGAATAGACAAGGTGTCAGCGTGCACAGTGTTAAAAACAAGGAAAATACTAAAATGGGAAAGAAATTTAATGTCGGAATTCACAGTGTGTCAGATTAATCAGGTGTCGGATTAGACAGTTTTCACTGTATATATGAATCAGCTTGTCTGTCTGTCTGACTATCCGTCCGTCCGTCTGTCTAGCTGTGCAAACATGTACGGTCCATATCTTTCTTACGGAGGAACATTAGAATCTACTACTCCATACAAAGATTGCACATGACCTAAGAGTGTGTCATGACCTTGACTCAAGGTCCTTTGGGGAAGTTCAAGGTCACTGGAAGAAAATTTTCATCATTTGTGTTCGTTCCATATCTTTCTTATGGATTAACTTGGTAAGTTCCCATTTTACAAAAAGATTCCTCATGACCTAAGGGTGTGTCATGACCTTGACCCAAGGTCATCTGTGCATGTTTAAGGTCACTAAAAGAAAAATTGTAAAATTCATGTTTGGTACATATCTTTTTTTTTTGATAAACTTGAATCTACTACTTCACACAAAGAGGGTTTATTACCTCGTGTGTTATGACCTTCAGCAAAGGTTATTTAAGTTCAAGGTCACTGAAAGGAAAATTTCTTAATATGTGCATGGTCCATATATTGCTTATGGATAAACTGGTTAGTTCCTATTTCACACAAAGATTCCTTATAACCTAAGGGTGTATCATTACCGTGATGCAAGGTTATCTATGCAAGTTCAAGGTTATAAAAGGAACAAGTTCATAATTCATGTTTTGTACATATCTATCTTATGGAAAAACTTGTTAAGTTCCTGTTTTACAAAAAAATCGCTTATTGTCTTGAGGATGTGTCATGACCTTGACCCAAGGTTCTTTGTGTAAGTTTAATGTCACTGAAAGGAAAAACTGGTCCATATCATTCTTATTGATAAACTTGGATACTTTCTTGTTTACACCAAGATTACTTATGACATAAGGATGTGTCATGACTTTGACCCAAGGTCAATTGTCCAAGTTCAAGGGCACAGACAGTAAAAAAATTACAATTCATGTCTGGTCCATATCTTTCTTATGGATAAACTTGGAAGGTTCCCATTTTACATAAACATTGCTTTGACCTGAGAACTTGTCATAACTTTCAATAGGTCATTTACCGGGTATGCAAATTCAAGGTCACTGACAAAAAAAATTCTTAATTCATGTGTGATCCATACATTCAGTCTATTCTTAGGCTGCACCTTCATTTCATTTATAAAAAAAAATAATGAGCAATTACATTTGCACTTAAATGTTTTAGCTTTTCTCTCTTCTCTTAGATCCATAAAATATTCATGATTTAGCACTTCTGAAAAACCCAGCGGGGGGTATTTTGTCCCATTTGGACAGTTCTAGTTGTTTTTAGGTTTATAACTTGAATAATAAACATGGTACAGCAATGTAAATAAGCCAGAAGACAGAGCATTGGCATCCATTTGGGTTGAACATTGCGTCATTTTGATATATAATTTCGGCTTTTGTTATGTCATATATGGTCAAGTTTTTGCGTATTTGGTCCACTTTTTGCGTATTTGGTCCACATTCTGACTATATTGTATAACTATTAGACATTGTAGAGCAATGATACTTATTATTACTTATATGATGGGGTAAGTACAACAGGGTTGACAGTTGATCAGGATGCCATGACCCAATTATTCCACTTGAGAGGCTTTAATTTCCTGGGTGTATGTTTCATGTTTTGCCGATCCTAGTCAAGTCAGTTGCTAGGATATAAATTCCGTTGCTATGGAGATTTCTTTTCTTATTGTTTTGTAAAAAAGTCGTACATTTTATGGAGATTTTTCTAAAGTACTATGTTTCTCTAGAATGGCATCTAACTGTTAAATATCTGTTGTAATATTAAAAAAAATTGCCAAAACTTGCGAAAGTCCACTGAAAATGTTTTGAAAAAAAATGCAAATTTTGATTTCTGAAAAAAAAAATTGGGACATCCGACTACCAATTTTTATTTTATTATTTCATAGTATTGGGATATATCTTTAACTTTGTATGACATACAATACCTACGGTTGTTGCGTTTTTATGTATTCAACTTTTGAAAAACTTAATTTTCCACGGATATTCCCATCATGAAAACTTTGTCATTTTTCGGTTGCCATAGCAACCATATCAAAATTTTTAAAAATACTTACAGACATAAAGATATTTTCTTCTGATGCATCTTTCATTATTTCAATATAAGAAAACAATTTAGACCTTCCAATTGTTCCCCCCTCTGCATTTAAATATGTCTAAATTTGTATTATTTTACAATGTTTCATTGAGAATTTACTATGCAAATTACATTTGTTGCCATGGAAACCAATGATGATGAATAAATTTGTAAAATTTGTCTTCAATGTGTTTTTTCTTGTTGTTCAAATATTTTAGGGTGGTTTTTGCCCAATTCAAAAATTTTGACTTTCCATGTTAATCTCAATGGTTACTGACACGGCCTCTTAATTTATTTGTAACAGAAATATTTTTGCGAATGCAATGAACTGGCAAATTTGCTAAAATTTTATCTACAGCAAAAATTTCCAGATTTACGGTATTTTTTACACAATTGTGATACAGGTGAGGTTGTCGCTTTATAAATGAGTGCGGGTTTCGCAGTGGATTTCTTTAATTAATTGTTAATGAAGCACTGCAGGAAGGAAATTCTATAACAATGAAGACATTCAAGTATATTATACGCATGTTTTACCAATAAGAGGTTCAAAACGACGAAAACACGTCAGAACTTATAACTGTTTTTCTTATTTTAAAATCTACTACGATTGTAAATAAGCTATAAGATCAATAACTGTGCTAGCGTGTCGAAAGCATTTAAACAGGAATTGAAGCACATCGAAAGGTGAAAATCTATTTGATCTGCTAAGGCATGATGATAAAATTAGTTGAAAGGTTTGAAGGCTTAATTTAAACCATGTCTGTTATTCAGTTTTGATTACCTGATGTAATGTGTCCAGCAGTAAGTACAAAATATCTTTCTTTTTCTTTGACCTAAATATCTGCAAAAAGAACCCTTCAATAAGATGTAGTACGACTTTTATACTGAAACTGCCATATAATTATAAGCTAAATATTCGACATGTCTTTGTGTGTAAGTGTTTTAAACAGATTAGGGAAATAAGACTTCTAAGCTTGAATTGGATAAAAAATTAATCACGAAATGTGTGTCAGAAATAATATAAACCGTTAAAAGGAGTTTTAAAAGTATACGACTTGAAACAATATGAAATGATACTGATATAAGTCAGTTAAGAAGGGTTGTGGGATCATGGCCAATTTTAGACTATTTGACTAGAGCTATGCATAATTTAACATATATGTAAAAGAAATGGCATTGTCACTTAACACTAAAGTAATATACTAGTATTTGAAATGGATATTAAACTTGATGAAGACCATCATATATGAATTATATTCATTTTAAAGTGTGATAAAGATCGTGATGATTCCTGTCATGATTTTTTTTTTGTAAATTTACCGGACAGCAGTAAAAATAAGAATTACAAAAAACTTTTCGTCTCCAATTCTTTATTACTTTATGATCACGTTCAATTTTTTTTTACAGTTGAACTATATCTATACTTTTAAATAAAATTATGTACATGCATTGAACTTCACGTACCACTGCGAGTGTAATAAAAAAAAACTTATTATTACTTGAGAGAACAATTAGAATTGTGAATTGAGGTCTATTAAAAAAAAATTAATAGAAACGTTATGAATTGATTTTACATTTGTCAATTAAAATCGCCTTTATTGATACATACATAGAACCATGAATAGAGTGCGAAGGTGTATTCAACATGTCAAAATTTTTTGCCTTAGTTGATTCTTTAATCGTTAAATTACCCCCACAGGGTTTTATGTCTGAGTCTTTACAGTAAATTTCCTATAAGCTTTACTTCATAATAGCCCCGTGTATTGGGAATTTTTATTGTGCTCGAAATAGGACGATTTACTCGTTTCAAACGACATCGGATACATGTTTACTGGCGACACATGTTTTGATTGAATCGAAAGTTCCCTGGAAGTGAGGAGGAAAACACATTTCAAGGATAAAATAACGTTAAAACTAAAATGCACTGATATGACCAAGTGCGGTTGTCTATATTTTTTGACCGAATTTGATTTAAGATTAACATGATTAAAGAGGTTTCATATTTTCTAGTCTGTCCTTGAATATCATTCCGTTAATTTCAATTTATGACTTTATGGCCGCTTTCTGAGACAAATGAGACAAATGGGAATATAGTATTTCACAATCAATGCCCTAGTTTTTGATAATGATCACCAGTCTCATCTCTCGCTTTTTTTTATCTTTTAAAATCATCTGTGAAATTCAAAAGAGAATCCTAACAATGGACCTCGTCGTTAACTTCTTTAATCAGTCCACTGCTGGTTCAGCTTTTTGTGATATATTTTATGCTCGTCTCTGTAAAAATAATATTTTTCCCTTTCTTTGTTCATCATCAACTGTATTGGTTTTAGCAATGACACGCACGTTATCACCATCTTTGGTAAACCTAGAGCCCAAAAGAACACATGACGGCGGTGACAGCTGTTAGTGTACAGTACACGATACCAGATTCTGTTATATGCCTAGGGGCCAGCTGTCAGAACTGGGATGTTCCGACGTAGAGCAGCGAAAAGTCTGGTTTTATTTATCACCGGACTGTTTTAAGGTAACTTAAAGATAATTTTTCAATTTCTTGTTTCTTTCATTTCCGCCTCTTCCTGTTTTATATGTATAGGGATCACGGCGGGTTGGCCGGTGAACGGGGATGATTTCTCCTCCTAGGCACGTGATCCCACCTGAGGAATTTCTTTTAAAATAATAGTGTTATGCTTAATCTACGTTGTTTTAAATCGAGCACTGTTCATTATCTTTACCTCTTTCATAACTTGTTTTCAGCATACTGTTGGATATCATGACATATAACAGCGTTTTCAACGTATAGTTTTAGATTTATATAATAAGGAATATTGATTCAACTTCTGACCTCAACAACCATTAAACTTTCTCATTTCAAGATATCTACATGTATATCATTCTTTTTTCGAGTTAGGACTTTTAATTCAAAGGAAAACAATTATTAATAATAAGATATTAAGGAAGTAAAAGAAACCCTCCATCATAAAGAAAATTAAAAATCAAAATTAGTACTAACATAATTCTTGCATCAGTAATACTATACTACATCGGAGTAAAAAAGCCATTTATTTCAAGTTTCGAATATACTTCAAATAGACATGTCTGTCATTCCAGGAAGAAGACAATGCCATGCTTGATGAAGAATTTGTTGTTGTTGCTATGTTTTCAATGTAATATAGTAACACTTGTGGCGTCTGAGAACAGTGCTGCTCTAAACACCACTCTCTGTTCAGACCAGCAAGAAATGAAACGTAAGATTGTTTGAAATTCATTCACCCATTTCATGAACAACTCCATGTTAAAAAAATTTAAGAATAATTTTTCATCCACGATCGCTTTCTCTAATATTTACATTATCTTACATTTTCCCCCAAAAAATATTAATATGACTTTTTTAACGAATCTAGCTGATGAGAGAGTCTCTGACATGTTGTGTGGGTGTTTCCAAGTGGTAGTCAGAAATAAAGAGGACGGCTTCGTGTTACTGGTTCTGCTTCAGAAAGTTTTCTGGAAAAGTCTCCCTCTTCTGTTTGTCGAATCCCCCAGATTCGAAGTGTATCGCGAACGTCATAACATGATATTTCCACTGGGAAATATCAATTGCTCTGTAAGATTAGTTTTTTTATTCGAAATATAGAAAAAGAGAGGAAATTTTGCCTTTTGGAGTGAAACGAAAATGTCTTGATTTTAAAATGTTTGAAATTTTTCTTCTTTAAAATACATGTATTTCAAACAGGAAAATGCCACGGTATGTGAGAAATATTTTGAGGTGAAGGATCAAAACAACAGCGAAGTTCAGATTCTCCAGGTAAATTAAGACGAGAAATGAAGTATCTCAGCAATGTTGTGTACATTACTTAAGGACAGATGATACAAACAAAAAATGGATGCCTAGATTGGTATACATTTCTGGGCCTTTTTTGTTGCAAATGATGCAAATGATAAATTCCCAAAATATTAAGAATTTCTAAACCTTCTATGATGTTCAAAATTCTACCTTTCTGCAGCCACACTTATTACCTCATGTAAATATTTTTCACTTAAAATTCGATTTTTGTGAAACTCTGAATAAAAAGTAAAAACTACGCGGTTAAACTTGTTTATTTTACCCATTGAAACATGACCCAGGTTGTTATTTTCAATTTTTATGACAAAAGTTTGTTTGTATCATATGTCCTTAAGTAACACAACATTCGCCTTTCAATGAAACTCTCTACTATAGATCATAATGTATATAATAGCCAATATACATAAACAATTCAGTTTATAATTCTAATGGTCATTGCATCAAGCCCAATGGAAAAAGAATTATTTTCTGCAAATTAGTTTAATTTTCTTTTCATGCAACCTATCTTTTAATCACATAATAATTTTTTTTATTTCGATTTAATTTGGAGTACTAGTATTTCTAAGTCTATTTGAGTAACAAAAATGAGTACCATGGGTAAAGATTGATTTAAATTTACCAACATTTTTGAAGGATTTCGGTAATCTAAAAAAAATATGAATTGACCATTTTTTTTGGGTACCTGACTAGAGGTCTTGTATTTATTTTAATGCTGCATTATAACCCCCCCCCCTTTTCTTACAGGTTTACCTGTCCTGTGACTCAAAGTACGAATGGGTCCCATCGCCATGCTATGACTGTCCATACGTTAAACTATTCTGTGAGTACTGGCTTATTCATCTGTGAATATAAGATTAAACCAAACACGTAAAACTGAGAAAAGTTTTCAAAAAACAAAAAAAATCCTGCAAAATGAGTAAATGTGGTCATCGTGTGGAAATAAGCTTCGACTTTCATTCTTTTTTTAGTTCTTAAAAAAGCTGACGTATTTAAGTACCATCAAATGATAGACAAATTCCCGCATATCAATAATTTCAAATCAATGACACATACATACATCTTCTCCAGACCTTTTCCATCATGGCAATTAAAGCATGCATTTTTCTTCTGTGTATGCCTAATGTAACTTTATAAATAATTTCGATGGGAAAAATAACTTTATAAATAATTTCGATGGGAAAAAAAAATTTCATCAATATTTGAGACCAAATATCTTGCGAAGCAGAAATGTCCAAGAACTGATTGTTCGGCATCTAGTATTATCATTCATTTTTCACTGATATAATATTAATTCAAAATTATGAAACGGTACATGCCTTTCACCTAAAAAAACAAAAAAGAAAATTATATTCTTGCCTGCAATACTCAGTGCTTTTTCTTGTCAACCCCACCATTCTTATTCAAAACTCTGAAGGCAATTTAATTATAAATATTAACATAATACTCTACCCCAGCCTACCTTTCTTCTTTTCTTGGTCTTTTAAAAGGCCGTACATCCCCCTTAAAAGGGCACGTTGTTTTTCCATGACACATTGATATACTTAATAGAATAGAATCTTTATTTTAAAAAAAAGCATGAAAAATGTAGAATATAACTCTAACATTACTTTACAGACAGACCCCCTCCAGACAACCCGATTTCTTACCTGCAGCCTCCTATAGGGGATATCGTCAGCACCACCAGGCCAGTAATCTCAACCTCTGTCCTATACATCATCATTCCCGCGGTCATCGTGATGTGTGCAGTGGTCACTTTTATTGTGTTCTTTGTCCATCTCAAACGTGAGTTTCATGTTTAAAAAATATTTGTAATCTTCTAAAGCAATTTATTATGTGTAGTGTGTGAATCACAATACCCCTATATTCTATTTTTTTTTTTGTAAACAGGAAGGTCAAGGTCACCAAGAGAAAGAACCTCTGAATCATGCAGCAGTGAACCACTTGTTTCTGTGATCGAGGCTTCTACGTCACAGTCTAAAAAAGAAATCCTAATAATAGATATTGCGCCTGACGAATCGTGTTCTGTGCAATTCCGCAATATATTAAAAAGGGTTCCTAAATTTAATGTTGTGTGTTATATTGACCAATTGAAGGATGTTAATCAGAACATGTACGACTGGGCACACAGGAAGCTGAAAACATGTGACTTCATAGTTATAGTATTAACCGGTGAATTGACAAAAGTGTTCGAATCAGATTCGTGTGAAATACTCCGTTCGTCTCCGTACTCAGATATTGTCAAATATTTCCTCTCTCAAATGAACAGCACTATGTACACTAGTGACGCTTCCTTGCCAAAGTACGCAGCTGTTCAGTTTGAGGCTAATGTCGTGGTACCCTCAAATTTTACAGAACATCTTCCCAACATTTCATTCAAAAACATTTTCACCTTTCCAAATTTTTTGCAAAATGACAACTCCACTTGTTCACAGCTCAACAGATTTCTGATGACAATGGGTGCTAATAACGAGGATATAAAACAGTGTATGTACACCACCTGACTAATGAGGTGAACCTGTAAATAGGACTTTCCATTGAGTTCTGTGATAACTAAATGACCCCTTTGAATTCATCAGTCTACAAGTTCTACAATCTTTAAAATCACAGAGCACAGGCCTAAATGACCAGTTGGTTAATAAATATTTTACCTCCAAGTTTTCTGCAAATACCTGTACATTTTGAACACCAAATGTGTTTCAAAGAAGTGTGCTGCAATATGCATATGACAGCATATAAACGTGATATAAAAGGCATTGTTTTAACATGCGATTATGAGAATGAAATGAACCTATTAAAAAAAAAGAGATTTTTGGACAGAAATTTATATTTAAAAGTTAGTATAATAGTTAAAATCAATAAATATACAAATCTCTGTTTTTCTGTCTTCTTTTTTTTTTGAAAGTTCTAAAAAATGAAGAATATAAATCATTTTAGACAATACCAATCACATTCTATTAACACAAAATTAATCATAATCACGACATAGTACCAATCAAACTCACATGGCACAGTAGCAATCACAATCACATAACACAGTACCAATCACACACATGACACAGCACCAATAACACTCACATGACAAAGTACCAATCACACTCACATGACACAGTACCAATCAAACACACATGGCACAGTACCAATCACAATCAAATAACACAGTACCAATCACTATCACATGACACAGTACCAATCACACACACATGACACAGTACCAATCACACACACATGACACAGTACCAATCACACACACACACATGACACAGTACCAATCACACTCACATGACACAGTACCAATCACACACATGACACAGTACCAATCACACACACATCACACAGTACCAATCACACTCACATGACACAGTACCAATCACATCCACATGACACAGTACCAATCACACTCACATGACACAGTACCAATCACACTCACATGACACAGTTCTAATCACACTCACATAACACAGTTCTAATCACACACATGACACAGTACCAATCACACACACATGACACAGTACCAATCACACACATGACACAGTACCAATCACACACACATGACACAGTACCAATCACACACACATGACACAGTACCAATCACACTCACATGACACAGTACCAATCACACTCACATGACACAGTTCTAATCACACTCACATAACACAGTTCTAATCACACACATGACACAGTACCAATCACACTCACATGACACAGTACCAATCACACACACATGACACAGTACCAATCACATTCACATGATAAACTATTAATCACACACATGACACAGTACAAATCACACACACATGACACAGTACCAATCACACACACATGACACAGTACCAATCACACACACACATGACACAGTACCAATCACACAAACATGATAAACTATTAATCACTCACATGACACAGTACCAATCACACACACACATGACACAGTACCAATCACTATCACATGACACAGTACCAATCACACACACACGACACAGTACTTAAATTACATTCACCTGACACAGTACCAATACATTCACATAACAAAGTACCAATTACATTCACATGACACAGTACCAATACATTCACATAACAAAGTACCAATCAAACTCACATGACAAAGTACCAATCACACACACATGATACAGTACCAATCACACACACACACACACACATGATGCAGTACCAATCACATTTACATGACACAGTACCAATCACATTCACATGACACAGTACCGATTACACACACATGACACAGTACCAATCACACTCACATGAGAAAGTACCAATCACACTCATGACAAAGTACCAATCACACACATGAAACAGTACCAATCACACACACACATACACATGACACAGTACCAATCACACTCACATCACACAGTACCAATCACACTCACATGACAAGGTACAAATACCTCTCACATGACACAGTACCAATCACACTCACATGACACAGTACCAATCACACACACATGACACAGTACCAATCACACACACATGACACAGTACCAATCACACACACATGACACAGTACCAATCACACACACATGACACAGTACCAATCATACTCACATGACACAGTACCAATCACACATACATGACACAGTACGAATCACATTCACACAACACAGTACCAATCACACTCACATGACAAAGTACCAATCATACACATGACACAGTACCAATCACACACATGACACAGTACCAATAACACTCACATGACACAGTACCAATCACACTCACATGACAAAGTACCAATCACACACATGACACAGTACCAATCACACTCACACAACACAGTACCAATCACACATACACACAGTACCAATCACACTCATGACACAGTACCAATCACACTCACATGACAAAGTACCAATCACACACATGACACAGTACCAAACACACTTACATGACACAGTACCAATCACACACATGACACAGTACCAATCACACACACGACACAGAACCAATCGCAAACACATGACACAGTTCCAATCACAAACACATGACACAGTACCAATCACACACACATAACACAGTACCAATCACACTCACATGACAAAGTACCAATCACACACACATGACACAGTACCAATCACACTCACATGACACAGTACCAATCACACTCACATGACACAGTACCAATCACATTCATGTCAAAGTACCAATCACACACATGAAACAGTACCAATCACACTCACATGACACGGTACCAATTACACTCACATGACAATGTACCAATCACACTCATGACAAAGTACCAATCACGTTCACATGACACAGGACCAATCACATTCACATGACACACATACAGAGGTCAAAATCTATCAACCAATCAAATTGTGCTTGGAAAATTATTGTATATTTGTTGAAGCGAATAAGTCTAGAGTAGTTCTGAATTTGACACACACACAGTATGCAAACAGATCTAACATCAAATATCACATGACACAGTTCCAATCACACTCCCATGACACAGTACCAATCACTCTCACATAACACAGTACCAATCACACTCACATGACAAAGTACCAATCACACTCATGACAAAGTACCAATCACACACATGAAACAGTACCAATCACACTCACATAACACAGTACCAATTACACACACATGACACAGTACCAATCACACACACATGACACAGTACCAATCACACTCACATGACACAGTACAAATCACACTCACATGACACAGTACCAATCACACTCACATGACACAGTACCAATCAAACTCACATGACACAGTACCAATCACACACATGACACAGTACCAATCACACTCACATGACACAGTACCAATCACACTCACATGACACAGTACCAATCACATTCACATGAAATAGTTCCAATCACAAACACCTGACACAGTACCAGACACACTCACATGACACAGTACCACACACACTCAAATGACAAAGTACCAATTACATTCATATGACAGAACAAATTACAATCAAAAGACACATTATGAATTACACTCACATTACAATGTGCCAATTTAGTATATGGTTTTTTTTTTTATTTTTAGATCAGCATCAAGTTTCTTGTAGTTTTTTTGACACTGGATCCCAGGAAAAAATATTAAAAAGGAAAGAAATTGTAGGGCATATTGTGAATATTGTGCAGATGATGCAACTCTGCATTTATCTGATAACAATGTACATAATATTGAAACATTTTTGAATTATGATTTATGCGAAATTGAAAACTGGTGTTTACAGAACCAAATGATTCTGAACACGAACAAATCAAAATCTATGCTTATGTGTACACAACAAAAAAGGTCAAAATTAGATATTCAGAACTTAATACAGAAATTTCTGGAGAAAAGCTTGAAAATGTTAATGTTGAAAAACTCTTAGGTGTCTATATAGATCAAAATCTTCATTATAATTATCATGTAGATTCAGTTTGTAAATCCTTAACATACAAGTTATTTACACTCCGTAAAATTAAGAAATTTCTTCCATTAAATACCAGAAAACTTTTTTATAATGCATATATTTTGCCTTCAATAAACTATTGTCTTACAATATGGGGCAATGCATCTAAAACTAGCATTGAAAGAATTCATAAACACGGGCTGCTAGAATTATTCTTGATGCAGCACAGTCAAAACCACTGTTTGACACAAATGTATTTGAATTAGTCACACTACATAAGTGTATTTTATTGTACAAAACTTTTTATGGTATGAGCCCCGAATATCTCCAGGACCTTTTTGTTTTTCATAGCAATGATTCCTATTCCTTACGTTCAGAATTAAATTATAATCTTCGTTTACCAAAACATAGAACAATTTTATTTACAAATTCTATTCAATATTCAGGTGTAAATTTATGGAATAACCTACCATTACATATAAAATTATCACCAACCTTACCTATTTTTAGACGAAATGTAGAAAAAATTATAATTAGCCAACGTATGTAAATAAATGTTTGAATATGTCCTTTGTACAAGATGTTTGACTATTACTATTGTTTAAGACAATGTCTCTTGAACAATTAATATTGACTTCTTTATTAATTTTGAATCTATATCTCATTTAGATGTACATTACATTATGCACTAACGTCTACATGTTTTATCTTTGATTGTATCATTTTATGTAATATGTTGTTTGAAATTAGAAGGCCCCGGCAAGAATAGTACCTGGTACTAAAGGAAAGCATTATTATTATTATTATTATTATTATTATTATTAAATCAATTATTTTCTTTGGGGTTTGATTTTTATTGTTTTTGAGGCATGAACACCACAAAATTTAAAATCTCACATGAATTATTACTTATCATTCTCAAATCACAAAATCAAATCCCCACAAAAAATATGTTCTTCTAAAACCTCGAAAATTTGACTCCATGAAAATAGTTTTTTCTTTTTTATTCTTTTGAAAGAATTGCAAAACCATGTTTCTTACATTTGTCCATACGTGTTTTAAAAAAGTCTGTGAGACAATGCTCACTTATTATAACCCCACCCTCTGATGTGAACATAAACAAGTTCAGTTGAAATGAAAGTCTTATGGACAAATGCATGAATTAACAGGAAGCTGACATTGGACTTGAACAGAAATGAATCCCACCATTTGGCAATGCCTATAAAAAGAGAGTTTGCTAAAAGTTCAATAATCTGCAATAGGTAGTTGCCGAGAAAACTGCAACGAAAATATGGTACAGACAGATGCGTAGTTAAACAGGAAGTTAACACTGAATTGGTACAAAAATGAATCCCATCATATGGCATGTCTAATCAAAGAGTGTGCTGAAATTTCAAGCATCTGTAACCAGTAGTTCCTGAGGATTTGATACAGACAGATGCACTGATAAACATGAAGTTGACATCAGACTGAAACAAAAATGAATCCAACTATATTGGAGGCCAAAACAAAGACTGCTTCTGTTTTATGCATCTAAAATGAGTAGTTGCTGAGATAACCATGATGAAAACTTGTTGTGGACAGACAGACACACACGGGTAAAACAGTATATCACCTCTCATTTAAAACAGGGGTTTAACATTTTGTGACGTAGCTGGAAAAAACGTTATTGGCTCTTTCTTGTGACTTCCAAATGTGGAAATCTACCAATCATGTTGAAAAGCACAGAAGCTTGGTTAATCATTAACAAAATTTATTCATAAACAAGTACAGACCTACTAAGAATCACCATGTTTGAAATTTATATCTTCTAAACCGTAAAAGAAATTCTATCACTATCACTTTACAGAAATTAAAGAAAAAAATAATGAACAATTTTGTCTTAATGGTGCATGCATTTCAGGGATAATCAATCATTTTAATAAAGTTTAATAAGGATCAAGCACTGATTACTTTATTATCTGTGTTCTTCATAATAATTCTCTTTTACATGGTTATGAATTGCTGCAATATTATGCTTCAATGAATTAAATATACATGTATTTAAACATCACATCTGACTAGCTTATATACTTTAGTTGAGACTTCCATGTTCAAAAAAAAAAAAAAAAGTGACCAGTAATAACATGCAAAAGGAAGTTTTTCAAAGATTATCAGCTTTCCAGAGCTATATGTACAAGAAATGAACCAATTATATCATTTAACTATTACAGAAATGTTCTTATAATATGTATTAATTAAAACACTTTCAAGTGTTAAAATACAAATCCAAGCAAAGTTTCAATCCTTCTCAAATTTTCGACAGTATAAACATGATAAAAAAAACTACTTTTATTCTCCGAAATAAATGCTTCTTCTACTTGGGTACATAATTTGTATACGTTCTGAAACATCACAAGTCTTGAATTCTTGCCATAAGCTCTTGTTTTAATGATGAGTTGCTTCCCTTGTCCCCCTGCTGGGCTTTGACCTCTTCCATGACCTCCTTGTCCCAGGAGAAGTTAACCACGGCGGCGGGGGCCAGGCCCAACTCCGCAAATGTCAAAGAGTGGTCTGTCAGTTTTTGACCACCTGACGAACTCAAGTGAAATGGAATCCAGTCATGTTCTAAGTTCTCTCTCACAAAATCCACTAAACAGGAAAAGGGTTCATTAGCTTTAAAAGTGCCCTCCAAAAGCACATCATGAAAACGGACTCTGATTAGGACAAAGCGATACTTGGTGAGTTCTCTTCTCTCATCCCTTTCCCGCATTGCCTTCGTACGCAACATTCCTAGTTTTTCTGTCGCTTCCTGGCGTGCTTGTTGTTCTCGCTTGAGCTCAGCTGGGGAAATGTTGTAAAACTCATCAGGAATGTTAAATCTGCTTGCTGAAGGTGACGGATGGTAGACCTTTAAATTCCTATCAAGTTGTGGCTTGATCGGCTCGGCTGTCAGAAGAATTTCCTTTAAGTTTTCGAGACGACTAGAGTCTTTTGCTACCTCCTCATCTATCACATAAAAATCAGTCTCTCCATCCTCAAATGGCAGTTTCCTTATTGTAAAGCCAACAGCTTGTAAGAATTCATCTGTTCCAGCCAGATTTTTCACTCTCTCTATGAAGGCTTTGTTGGACAGTCTTATCTTGCGGAACTTTTCTTCGGATGGGTTATTAATGAGATTGTCAAGATACTTTGTCAGAGTTTCTACACATACTTTCACTTTCTCTTTGTCCTTGTTTAATGTTTGGATCATTAGGGCTGATGCCATAGCTGGCTCCTCTGCTAGCTGAGACAGTAAAAATTCATGGATGTATTTATTCATCTCCTCTTTTGGCAACACTGCAGGTCCTAAAAATAAATAAAAGATCAAGTAAAATGCATTGATTAATGATAATATACATGTAGGGATATTCCACAACAGACTACATTTAAACAATATACTATACATTTATTTGTTTAATACTCTACTGCAGTTAGGTTAATAGAATCGAAAATATGGATGAGGGGCTGTTGATATATTTCAAGAAACTACAAGTATATCAATAATACAATAATACATGGAAATGCATCTAAAACTTGAAGTAAGAACTCTGATGATGGAGTTTTTAGCTTATAGGTAGCAAAATCATCTGAAGACTCCTAATTTTGAATTCCCTGATAATATATATCTATTTTTACCTATATCAGGACAGGTGTAGAGTATACAGCTGAGAACAGGGGCTGAGTCCTTGACAATTTCCTTTGGTTCCTCTCTGTACTGGCTAGCTTGCTTCATCGCTTGCTCAGCAGCTTTCTTCTCCTCCTCCATCTCCCTCTTCATTCTGGCTTTAGCAATGTAATTTGGGTCTATCAAAAACAACACATATACAAATTTATTCTACTTTTGGACTATCAAAACAATACAAAGAAATTTTATTCCTCAAGAATGAACGGTTTTATTAAATATACACCTGTCAGATAAAGTAAAAGTGCAACTTGAAGAACAACAGACTTTTTTTGTTAATTTGACTGCCTGCATCATTAAAAGGTAAAAATTTTATTTTTGCTAATATTATGTTCATGCATTATCCATGTTACAGGAATTTTCCACTACCCCATGTAGGGCCGAATATGGGCCCCATTCCCAATTGCAAAACCCCTCCCTTTTTCCCAAAAATGAACTGCCTATGTTCAATTTTTGAAAGAAAAAGAACTCAAGAAGGTAACCTGAATATCATTTACAAAATACAAACATGATTAGGTTTGGAAATTTGAATGAAATGAACAAAACTTTGAAGAATCTTGGGTAAAACTTTCTTATAATGATCAATCCTCTGATTCATAGTTCTGAATAACTAAGTAAAAGATCAATTTTTATTCATCTTAAGTATTTATTTCCTGAAAAACATCATACAATAAAATTTCCCAATAAGTGATAAAATGTCGTAAAATTCCCAATTCCAAGGGCCTGGGCCCCATTCCCAAAAGTGAGTGGAAAATCCCTGAACTGTTATCAATTAAATCATTGTAAATACATGTATATGTGTGTAAATGCATATTACATGTTACTGAAGAGACAAACAGTATCTGACATTTTAAGTGACCAAAGCTGATTTTGTACAAGATACTTGAATACATAAGAAACATACAAGAAGCATGCCAATACACCTTTCTATTTAAAATGCACTTGGCAGAATATTTTTATGCATCAAAATAAAAAGTGTTGTTATTTAAATATTTCTTATGTACACAATACAAATTTTTTACTATGACTGTACCTGATTTGGTTTGGTTTTTAGTTGTCCTCATCAAGGCCGCCTCCGCTGCCCGGGCTGCCTCCTCAGATGGCCCTGACCTTGGGGTCTGAACGGACTGGGGCCGGGATGTAGAGGGGGCAGATCTGGTATCATCTGTCAGTTTATGTCCCTCCCCAGCCTTCTTAAACTTGACATCTAACTTCTTCTTTTGGAAAAATTTCTTTATAGCTGACATGATCTGTTACAGTAAACTAAATCTCTGAAATAAAATAACATTAAAGTAAATTGAAATCCTATTCCTGGGATCCTTTCCCTCCATTTCAAATAAAATAATGTTTTATCATGGTTAAAAGCTCTGAAATCTCTATTTTTATTAAACACTATATGTATTACCCTAAACCAAGCTAACAAAATTTGATGCACTTGAAGGAGTCTTAAAATGTGTGTCACAGGTGGTGAAAAGTCAAGGCTCAACTGGGACTCCAACCCATGGCCTCTGGCGTACCTTGCCAGTGCTATAACCAAATGAGCTATTGAGACCCAATATACTGACTGACTTTCACGCATCTGTTAACCCGGTGATATGTGTTTAGATAATATAAGAAGGGAATGAGTGGTTTACAATATGGCAATCATTTAAAGGTGCATAGACATAGATTGAAGTTCATGTTTTCTGTACAATATCACAACTTGTATATTGTATTTCACCTGAAAATATATTAATTAAAAAATCTTATTTCATCTAAAAGTTATTAAAACTTAAAATATTTGGATGGGTTTGATTGACACATCCTTGCACTTTCACAAATTTTAATTACCCGGTAGTTGTGGGACGATCCACCGGTGCATCACAGCTAGTATTCACTTTGACGATCTGCAGATCGATTCATCTAATTTAGTATCATGATACCCGACAGCACTTTTTTTAAAATTTCCAAAAATGTCCAGGCTTTAGAATTCGAAATTTTTAGTCCTTTAGTCTGTATCATCAAGACGTATAAACAAACAGAAATAAAGTACAAAGCTATTGGTGATACAGAATTCAAAATATAAGCGTCAAAATGGCGTCAGACACGCCAATTTTTTTTCATACACTGAAATGTTTCAAATTAAATGTTCTAAAAAAACCTAGTTTTATTTGGTTCTAAATGTATCATGATATGTATCGTATTGCACCTAAGGTATCATGATATGTATCGGATCGGCTAAGTTGACAGTATACTTAGGAAAAGTGGCAATCTTGTTGTGTATTACATGTGATGAAAAATAATAAGACTTTAATCCAATCCCCAAAGTCATGTTAAAGCTATATGTTACTTTAATGATTTATGAATTCATTAATTATGAGACTGAAGTAGGTGTGTCTGCAATTGAGTTACACAGTTAGATGCCTTGGGGAAGGAAGAAGTGTGCTGTGAAAGAAAAAAAGTGCATGTGTCAAGAAAATTAGAAAAGTGGATTTTTACATTGCCCATACACAACTTTTGTTTTAACCCGCGATGCCTTGGACCCCCTCCCCCTTGAACTCTAATCCAGGCTCCTCTTCTTCATTGGGACAAAAATAAATCTTCCATGGAGGAGGGGGTGTTAGATTTAGAGGAATCTCGGACTTACCTTTCTCTACTCAATAATTTACTTACTCTAACGATGAAGTTTCTCAAAGATCTTCTGTCCGTAATGTCTCCAGGCAATAGTGATCAGAAGCAGGTTGAAAATCAGCCAGACTGTTAGGAAAACTAACAACTTACTCTGAACATCGTATTGTTCCAGTCGAAAAGAGAGAAATGCGTCAACTAAAACGCCCCAAATTATTGAAATATACTCTGCTACATCAACAGCTTCCGAAATCGTCGTGCTTAAAGGAGAGTTGCTGCTCATTGACAGTTATTTGATAAAATATGTGAAATTAAATTTATCAATCTGGTGATTTTGGAGTGACAGACATTTGATAGTTTGTACTTTATCTTATTCAAAATAGCAACAAGTCGTACTGAAGAATTTCCTTTTCGTTCAGTCCCATATGAAGACAAATCACGGTTTTTAATCAAATAAAAGTAAAATAAAATGTTTTACCGGTATTACTATATTTTTATGTATTTTTAGCGAGAGTTTCTAGGAACAATACGTCAGTGACGTAGCACTGTTTTTGAAAGGGGCAGCCAAGAAAAAGAAAATTAGTAATTTCTATTGATACTAACCTGAAAAAAAGTTGACAAAAAAAAAAAAGAAAAGGAAAATTTGAATTTACCCAAACTCAAAAATCCTATTTCATGGGGGTGGGGATAGAGGCCAACTTTTTTCAACACCATCTTCTTTCAGTATCAAATTTTCTTCATATAGTTACTACATATACATTACCCTTACATTACTTTACTTTAGCCAAAAGTGGGAGGGGGGGACCAGCCTTTCAATGAACATTTTCAATAGTAAAAGTTATGTCTGAAAAAAAACGTGCCTGTAGGTATTGATTCCAGAGGTCTTATACCATTATGAGTATGTTTTTTAAAATCATAAATGCTATATATTACATCCTGTCCACACTTTCATTTACTATCAGTACGTGCATGTATACAGTATGCAAACTAGCGTACTGTATGAAACAAGTGCTTTTGATCCTGTCACAAATTTCTGGGGTTGGAAGCTTCAAGCAGGCTTTTTTATGACACCTAGCTTACACACTTTCGAATGATCCTGTATTACAATAACCAAGGACAATCCAGATCATTGCCAATAACTGTACATGTATTTTAGTTTATATTATCTTTTAGTTCCTCTCTTTTTCTCATCAACAAATGAATAATACTTTTATGCATTAATTTGCTAAACAGAAAAATTAATTTACTGATAAAACTTTAGTGAAAAGGGGAATTAAACTAAATTAAGCTATTAAAGCATTTAATTTACCGATAAAACTTATGTGAAAAGGGGAATAATAACTCAATTAAGTTATTCCCCTTTTTAATGGAACGGAATATTTGAGTTTCACCTCTGTTATTGTTCCAAAAAATAGTTCATCTCTGAATTACATTTAAAATGAATACATAATACCGGTAAAAGTTATTTTAAGCTGGTATGGGAAAATTTCCATGTCGAAATAAAACTTCAAGTATAATCATAAGTTTTTTACTCCTTTTTAAAGATTTTTGAAAATTAGATGATAATAATAGTGGTGTGAGTGCAGGTGGCAATACCATGCCCTCTGGTGAGAGATTAATTCCTATCTCAAGTGATGGTAACATAAATACGAAAGCCGGATAGGCTCATTTCTGAAAAGATCAAAAAAATATTCAACTCGTTATAACGAGTTAATTATCTCGTTATAACGAGTTAATTATCTCGTTATAACGACTTAGTTATCTCGTTATAATGAGTTAGTATCTCATTATAACGAGTTGATTATCTCATTATAACGACTTAGTTTTATCTCGTTATTACGACTTAGTTTTATCTCATTATAAGTGATTACTTATTTCGTTAAAACGAGTTAGTTTTCTCGTTATAACGACTTAGTTTTCTTGTTATAACAGTTAATTATCTCCTTATAACGAGTTAATTATTTCGTTATAACAAGTTAATTATCTCGTTATAACGAGTTAGTTATCTCGTAATAACGACTTAGTTTTCTCGTTATAACGAGTTATTTATCTCGTTATAACGAGTTAATTATCTCGTTATAATGAATTAGTTATCTTGTTATAACGAGTTAATTATCTCCTTATTACGAATTAGTTATCTCGTTATAATGAGTTAGTTATCTCGTTATAACGAATTAGTTTTCTCGTTATAACGAAATAATAAGTTGCCCCTTTATTTCCAAATTTAATAGCAATACAAGAATTAAAATTGGCTGAAATTTTAATGTCATTGAAGTTTAGTTGACAATTATTAGTCGTACTTAACTTTAAAACTGAGAAAAAGTTGCAAATTTAATTTGCGATATGGTTTAATTTATATTAATCCTGAACTATCTTGCTGTCAATAATCACAATTTGATAAGTATTTATATATGACAACTTTCTCTGATAAAAGACTTTAATTTTTTCATATGTTTTGGATGACTTTCATAATCAATGCCTAAGTACCTAAATTAAAACTTTATTGAATAGCAAGCTAAAACAGGCGTTAATGCAACATATATTATATACACCTATAGTGTGATACATGTATATATTAGTTTGAGAGTCAGAAATGTTTTGAAGAAGGGTAATATGGATACATCAGCAATTAGGTCATTGGCGTAAAATGGGGGCTACTGCTCACTCATAACACAACATCACGAGCCGGCAGTTATAAGTTTCCGAATACATGTATTTGTTTTTGGTCTTTTAAATAAACAATACAAATCAACTGCATCGTTTATACATAAACAAACTACAATTACAGGCACAACCCCTCGAAAAACAAAAAAACTAGTTTGCTGTTTTTCAATAAAATCTTTATCATTAAACAAACTTGGTCTACTCGGTTTTATATGCTATACTTCCTATCACTTAGATATATCAACTTTAATAGACCAGTTTTAAACTCAGTATAACGAGAAAATTTACTTGTTATAACGAGAAAAATTAACTCGTTGTAACGAGAAAATTAACTCGTTTTAACAAGAAAATTAATTCGTTATAACGAGATAATTAACTCGTTATAACGAGATAATTAACTCGTTATAATGAGATAACTAAGTCGTTATAACGAGATACTAACTCCTTATAACGAAATACTAACTCGATATAACGAGATAATTAACACGTTATAACGAGACACTAACTCGTTATAACGAGGTAACTAATTCGTTATAACGGGATAATTAACTCGTTATAAGGAGTTAAATGTTTTTTTTATCTTTTCAGAAATGAGCCTATCCAGCTTTCGTACATAAAGATTACTGGACAAGTTATGTAAGATATTGCACAAATTTGTAACAAAGTAGGTAATCTTAAGTTTTTTATTTTGTGAACTGACAAAAAAGCCTTGTCTCAGGACATCCGACACATATTTTAAAATCCTGTGGAAAGCAATTTCCACATAGAGTGCAACCCAAACTAAAATTCATTGACAAGCAGAGGAAACATGATATGTCAATTTGCAAGCTGTATTTCTCAAAGGAAACATATAAAAATATACAAACAACATGAAAGTAACGAAATACATAACAAGAAATGTTTGTAAAACACTTATGCCCCCCTCCCCCCAAATTGGAATTTTTCCAAGTCCAAGGGGCAAAACTCTGTCAAAAATGGTGCAATCATACCTAAAACAAAACTTGACCTAGATATTAATGTGATATATCTGTATACAAAATTTCATTTCAGTATGTGCAACGGTTGCAAAGAAAATGAACGGAAACTGCAAATAATTGAAATTTTTCTAAGTTCAAGGGGCATAACTCTGTGAAAAATGGTGCGATCGTACCCAAAACAGAACTTGCCCTAGATATTCATCTGATTAATCTGTATACTAAATTTCATCTCAATATGTGCAACGGTTGCAAAGAAAATGAATGGAAACTGCAAATAATTAGAATTTTTCTAAGTCCAAGGGGCATTACTCTGTCAAAAATGGCGCGAACGTACCCAAACCAGAATTTGACCTAGATATTCATGTGATATATCTGTATACTAAATTTCATCTAAGTATGTGCAACGGTTGTAAAGAAAATGAACGGAAACTGCAAATAATTGGAATTTTTCTAAGTCCAAGGGGCATAGCTCTGTCAAAAATGGTGCGATCGTACCCGAAACAGAAGTTGGCCTAGATAATCATGTGATATATCTATATACCAAATTTCATTTCAGTATGTGCAACGGTTGCGAAGAAAATGAACGGAAACTAAGTGGACCGACAGACAGACAGCAGCAAAGCAATATGCCCTCCCTTCTTCGAAGGGGGGCATAAAAATTACTTTGATTCACCAAACACTTCAGGCTTCTGCTTTCTACACCCATTTAGACTGGGGCATCATTTTGTATGGTATTAGCAGGTGAGCAGAAACAAGATTTAGGAAGAAGAAAGATCATAACACATATGTTAAATAAATAAACTTCCTTTTATCCTTAAGGCCATAATAAAAATATTCCTAGATTCTCATCCCCGCCCGCCCCAATTTTATACCACCGCCTCGATTTTTTTAATTTCTGTTTTTCTTCGTCTTAATTCTGATCGGGATCGTTTTTTCATCTACCATTCTACTTTCATTTTAAATCCCGCGAAAGTCGACATGATTTTGACAGCTGAAAAGATGGTAATTGTTGTAATACATGCGTATATATTTTAAACAAGGGTCATTGGTTGAAAAAGATTGGTGATGATGTGAAGTAAGAGATAATTGAACCTTTACTATGACTTTTATTCGGGTATTATAGATAAAATTACACCGATTGACCAGGTCAATAAAAAATCTGCAAAAATGAAAAAATAAAAAATCTAAAATAAAAGCCGCCCGCCCGCCTCGATTTTTAAAAAAAATTCGGATGAGAATCTAGCAATTTATTTATTATGGCCTAAAGGAAATATAAAATCTTTTTAAAACAGCAAAATATTTAAAAACAAATATATAATTTTTCAAGTATATAATTTATTTTTTGGTATTAGACAGATAAATGCAAGTGTGGCTAAAGACATACAAAATATCTGCAGTTAAAAAGTAATTTACTTTTATCAAGTAAATTAGTTTATGAATCATACTGATTAAAATTTACCATGTTTACATACTGAAAATTATCCTCAAATGTGAATGCTCTTAAAAAATCATTATGCCCATTGTAAAATTGTATAATGCAGATCTACAATGCACAGGGAATTTTCATGGTCGTTTTCAGAATAACATAATTTTACATGGCTTTGCATTAGTAAAATATGTATGTTACTGTATGTGGCATTGTATTTCATTTGATTAAAAACAACAGACATTTTTGCTGTAAAATGCCAAGTTAAACAACCTTCAATTTTATCATAAACTTAGAATGATGCATCCATAAAAAAATGTTGAATAAAATTCAATCCTATTACAATTTAAATACTGATGATGCCCATGAATTCTGAGAGGTCATACAAAATGAAACATATCAAGGAATCACAGCTTATATGTGGTCTAAAGTCACTGTACTGCTAGCTAACTTCTTGTGCTCCATTTGTCTGCCTGATTTTATTAATAGCTAGTCGCTCGATGTCATCTAGACTTAATCTCTGTATGCTGGAGTTGAAGTTCTGAAAAACACATAATAATCAATACATGATGTGCATGTACCATCTTACTCTATACCAGAGTTTGATAATATTATCTCCTGACTAAATTTAAACAAAAGATGTTCCAAAATAGAACCTGACCTAAATATTCTTATGATTAATCTGTATACCAAATTTTGTTTCAGTATGTGCAACCTCTGCAAAGAAAATGAACAGAAACTGTTTGTAGACCAAAAGACAGACAGCAGGAAAGCCCTTTGAAGAAGGGAGGGCATAATTAAAAACAAGAGGCCCAGGGGCCACATCGCTCACCTGAGTACTGTGGCTAGGAAAAAAAGCAAAAATCTGTTTAGTATTAAAATGCTTAAAAGCATGAGTGGTCCGGACCTACCCCCTAAAAGGCAGAAAGGGTAAGGGGAATGGGGGTACGATTTGAACAAACTTGAATCTACACTATAAGAGGATGCTTCCAAATAAATATGACAAACCATGGCTTTGCTTTTCTTGAGAAGATTTTCCCTATATACTCCTATGTTAAAATTTGATCGTCCATTGTGGCTCCATCCTACCCAGGGGTCATGATTTTGAACAAACTTGAATCTACACTACCTGTGGATGCTTTCACATTAATATGAACAACCATGGCTTTGGTGTTCTTGAGAAGAAAATTTTTGAAGATTTTTCCTATTGACTCCTATGTTAAACTTTTATTGTCCATTCTCCACTCTACCCTCAAGGGTCATGATTTGAACAAATTTGAATCTACACCACCTGAGGATGCTTTCACATAAACATGATAAATATGAACGATCATGCCTTTGGTATTCTTAAGAAGAAATTTTTTAAAAGTTTCTTTCCCCTAAATTCCCTTTGTTAAACTTTTGGCCATTGTGGCCCCACCCTAACCCCGGGGGTCATGATTTGTACAAACTTGAAACTACACTACCTGCAGATGCTTATTAAGTAAGATAAATATGACCAATAATGTCCTCTCTGTTCTTGTCAATGAGAAGAATTTTTTTTTAAGATTGTACCTATATATTTCCATGTTAAACTTTGATCGTCCACTGTGGCCCCACCCTACCCCCGGGGGTCATGTTTTGAATAAACTTGAATCTCTACCACCTGAGGATGCTTCCATATAAATATCACCAATTATGGCTTTGCTGTTCTTGAGAAGATTTTTAAAGATTTTTCTTATATATTCCTATATAAAACTTTGATCAGCCATTATGGCCCCGCCTTACCCCCCGGGGTCATGATTTGCACAAACTTAAATCTATATGACCTGGGGATGATTCCACATGAGTTTCATCTTTCCTGGCCAAGTGGTTCTTGAGAAGATTTTTAAAGATTTTTCCTATGTATTCCTTTGTAAAACTTTTATCAGCCATTGTGGCCCCGCCCTACCCCGGGATCATAATTTGAACAAACTTGAATTTACATGACTGAGGATGATTCCACATGAGTTTCACCTTTCCTGGCCCTGTGGTTCTTGAGAAGATTTTTAAAGATGCCAATAATTTTTCATTAATTCATAATTATCTACCCTTGGAAGAGGGTGTGACCCTTCATTTTAACAAACTTGAATCCTCTGCACCCAAGGATACTTTGTGGCAAGTAGGTTGAAATTGACAATGACAGACAACAACTCAGGTGAGCTAACAAGATTTTTCCTATATATTCCTTTGTAAAACTTTGATCGTCCATTGTGGCCTAGCTGACCCCAGCAGTCATGATTTGAACAAATCTGAAGCTACACTGCCTAAGAATGCTTTTGGTCAGGTGAGCTTATTAAAACTATTTGCCCCCGAGTCTTTGACTTTTGATGATTAAATGATTTAAATTTTTGACTGATTTGGCAACTCTTCAAACACAGTGGCAGATCCAGAAGTTCATGTAAGGGGTTTCGAGGCCCAAAGGGCCAAAGGGGGAGGGTATGGGAGGGGGTGCCCCCTCCCAGGGGGTTCGGGGAAATTTTGAGGTAATTGGCTCTAAATGGTGTATTTTCCAGCATTTTGGGCTACCTTTTTTAGCCTCTTTTAAAGACCAATCATCACAAACTTTTAAGAATTTGGAAAAATAAAATGTTTCAAATTACTTTACCTCCAGACTTTAGACTTTTCTTTTTAAAAAGAGTTAAATCGATAATTTTAGGAATACAAGTAGATGACTTCAAGTTGTCTTGACTTAATTTTAAATACACCTTCAATTAATCGTATGTCAAGCTGACTTCCAAGATACAACTGATGTACAATTTTAAAAAATTGAATTCTTTGTAGAATCCCTAACTAATGCTTTTCAATTCACTTGAGTATACTGTCGATATGATTTGGAATATAAAGACACAATGAATGCTACATTGTATTTCAAAGTGAAGAAAAATTTACATTTTAAACTGAAGAATCTGTCACAACTAGAGAGGTTTGCTAAGACAATATGATTTTGAAAATTTGAATTATTTAATTTTTAAAATGGTAAAAAAAAAAAATAGCTTATTCACTTAATAGTTTTAAAAAACATGCATTTTATCAGCAAAAGAATGCTTGCTAGAATATTACTGAGCAGCACCGTAACTATGCAGTTTTCTGTTGTTGGTACTGTCTTTCCTGATATACTTTATTTTATCAAATAAAATATACAACATGACTAAAGATAATTTTTAAACACTTTGAAAGAATTAAAAATTGAATTCTTTTCAGAATTTCTAACTGGTGCTTTTCAATTTACTTGAGTATATACGGTCAATATGATTTGGAATATAAAACACACATGTACTATTAATGATATTTCAAACTGAAGAAAACCAGAAGTCTCTGTCGAGACTGAAGCTCTACTGGTCTGTACTTATAACAAAGGAAGAGAAAAGTAGCAGTCGGGCCTTAAAACTTTACAACAGCAATAAATAGAAAAATGATCCTTGATTGAGCTCTTTTTGTGGCAAGATACTGCAATAAGACAACAGCAGTAGGAGTAGCTATTAATAAACTTTTAGAGTATTTTCAATTTTAGTAACCATGGCAACATCCTTCCTCGACATCAAAAATCAATACACAGAATTGTGTATCTTAGTGTAGTCTACTTGTGTGCCATGTTGTATTGAAATCAGACCAAAACTGTAGGAGGTGTAGCATTTTGAATGCATTTCAGAGAAATTTCTATTTTTAGTAACCACGGCAACACCGTTCATCGAAATCAAAAATCGATACACAGAATTATGTATCTTAGTGTAGTCTACTCGTGTGCTAAGTTATATTAAAATCAGACCAAAACTGTAGGAGGAGTAGCATTTTGAAAGTATTTCTCAGAAATTTCTATTTTTAGTAACCACAGCAACACCGTTCATCGAAATCAAAAATCGATAAACAGAATTATGTATCTTAGTGTAGTCTACTTGTGTGCTAAGTTATATTAAAATCAGACCAAAACACAGGCACCTGAAGTATGGATAATATCCCCCCCCCCCTTTTTGTTAATGAAAAAATGTAAGAGTGTATAATATCTCAAAAATATATAATTTCCCCGTCAAACACATCTATATGTCGTTATATGCAAGCAGATTGTACTTTTTCTCACGTTTAAAAAATGACCCTATTCGGTATATAATAAAAATACACAAGGTAAGAAACAAAAGTTGTAAACAAACGGGGGGTTCCCCCCTTCGAGACAGATTTCCAAGGTAATAATACTGTTACCTATCATAATTTTGCAAGCACTCTGTCAGGGAGATGTGCTCCTACTGAAGTATTTAACCTAAACCCCGCCATTAATGTTTAATATGCCGTAACCAGACGATTTATTAATCGGATACATAAAATTTTCTCCATTGGCAGCGTTGGAGGAGGTTTTGGAGTCCCACTTCTGTTTCGCTTTATCTGATTGGTTAATTGTGATATAGTTTAAATATCTAACCAATCAGATAAAGCGAAACAGAAGTGGGACTCCAAAACCTCCTCCAACGCTGCCAATGGAGAAAATTTTATGTATCCGATTAATAAATCGTCTGGTTACGGCATATTAAACATTAATGGCGGGGTTTAGGTTAAATACTTCAGTAGGAGCACATCTCCCTGACAGAGTGCTTGCAAAATTATGAAAGGTAACAGTATTATTACCTTGGAAATCTGTCTCGAAGGGGGGAACCCCCCGTTTGTTTACAACTTTTGTTTCTTACCTTGTGTATTTTTATTATATACCGAATAGGGTCATTTTTTAAACGTGATACAATATGCTTGCATATAACGACATATAGATGTGTTTGACGGGGAAATTACATATTTTTGAGATATTATACACTCTTACATTTTTTTCATTAACAAAAAGGGGGGGGGGGGGTATTATCCATACTTCAGGTGCCTGTGACCAAAACTGTAGGAGGAGTAGCATTTTGAAAGTATTTCACAGAAATTTCTATTTTTAGTAACCACGGCAACACCGTTCATCGAAATCAAAAATTTATAAATAGAATTATGTATCTTAATGTAGTCTACTTGTGTGCTAAGTTATATTAAAATCAGACCAAAACTGTAGGAGGAGTAGCATTTTGAAAGTATTTCTCAGAAATTTCTATTTTTAGTAACCACAGCAACACCATTCATCGAAATCAAAAATCGATAAACAGAATTATGTATCTTAGTGTAGTCTACTTGTGTGCTAAGTTATATTAAAATCAGACCAAAACTGTAGGAGGAGTAGCATTTTGAAAGTACTTCACAGAAATTTCTATTTTTAGTAACCACGGCAACACCGTTCATCGAAATCAAAAATTGATGTATAGAATTATGTATCTTAATGTAGTCTACTTGTGTGCTAAGTTATATTAAAATCAGACCAAATCTGTAGGAGGAGTAGCATTTTGAAAGTATTTCACAGAAATTTCTATTTTTAGTAACCACGGCAACACCGTTCATCGAAATCAAAAATCCATACACAGAATTATGTATCTTAGTGTAGTCTACTTGTGTGCTGAGTTATATTGAAATCAGACCAAAACTGTAGGAGGAGTAGCATTTTGAAAAATTGTTTACAGACAGACAGACGGACAGACGGACGGACGCCGGACGCATTACTATCGCATAAGCTCTTCTGGTCTCTGACCAGTAGAGCTAAAAATTACATAAACTGAAGAATCTGTCAAAACTAGAGGGTTTTGCTAGGCCAATCTGATTTTGTAAAAAAAAAAAAAAAAAAAAAATTATTAATTCAATTCTTAAAATGATAAAAAAAAAACCTGAGTAATAGTTTATTCAAATAGTAAAAAAAACATGCATCTTATCAGCAAAAGAATATTGCTGAGCAGCACCGTAACTATGCAGTTTTCTGTTGTTGGTACCTGACTATATTGTACAGTACATGTATGTGACCTTGTGACTTCACTAGATGCACAGACTACCCTGATCTCTCTGATGATTACCTGTGTATTGTGTGCATTTAAGTGGAAAGCGATTTCCTGTTACGTCAGTCTATGCGAAAGTCAACGGACCGTCGGTTTTTACCGGTAAAATTTAGGTCGGGTCGGTAAAAAAAATCAGTTTACAGGACCGAATGTCCGGTAAAAAATAAGGCCAAATAAATCTAAATTAAGAGGTAAACATGGTCCAATTCCCCACAAATGTCCTTTATTTGACCAATTTAGCACAACCCTGTCATGATCGTTTTTATTCTAATTTGAATTTCCTCTGTCAAGGGTTAGAGATCTTTAGATAGCTCACACTTAGATTTGGTTGGGAAAATATTTAGATAGCTCATACGTAGATTTAGTTGGGAATTTTTTTTCAAATGATCATCAAACTTGAGTAACCATAATGAGTTGTTTCAGGAAAAATAAATATGCATTGAAAGTGCATATTAAATTTAAGAATTTTTTTTGATACAGTGTATGTTGTACAAGTCAAATATGAAGGAAAAAAATACATGCAATTGTATAGATACCTTTAACAAAGGAAAATTATAAGTAGTTAACATGTCCATTTCACTCTGAATTCATTTAACAATAAGGTTAAATTTCACAGCGAGAATTAACCCCATCCCACCATCCTCTCAATCTCAGTATCATAATGATGTATGGATTTAAAGGAAAAAAAGTCGGTCTGGTAAAAAATTGCTTGGTCTGGTAAAAATTTTATTTTTACCAGACATTTTGTCTGGTAACAATTTTCAACTTTCGCGTAGACTGTTACGTAGTTGATGTATATTTCACAGTTGTACAGAACAATGGATTTGTGTTTATTAGAGTCGTGTCAATGGAACAAAATGATAAAATGACACTTGTAAAAAAAAAAAATCAATGTGCGAGGGGGTTTTCCTACCCCCCCCCTTACCCCCCCCTCCCCGAATCTGCCACTGAAACATACATTGATATAAATTATGTAGTACATATGAATTGCAACTTAAAGAATGGTAGATCTGCCAATGCCACTTACTTTCTGGAATTCAATGAGGACTTTTTCGACATCCTGTGGAGTGAAGTGCCTCTGTAAGAATACTCTTAGTTTGTCCCAGAGAACAGTGGTGCTGCAGTTGGAGAGGTCTGCAGCAAATTTTGGAACATTTGCGGCAGAAGGAGAGCCAGCCTTCTCTGTTTTTTTGGTAAATAGGAATAACCTGTCTCCTTCCTTGATATTGTAGTAACTCAGCCTTTTGTCATCTGTAAGGTCATCACAAGATAAATGTTACACTAGAATAATGTCTTAGCGAACAAGTGAAACCATTAAAAAGAAATGCAATTGAGATAGCTGAAAGAGCCTGGACGTGATCCTACCATTTTGCTTTCAAATGATGAAATATGGACAGGTGGTATTATTCATTATCAAATAAAGCATGTAAAAATGGGTACTACTAAACAAAGTATGCTAGCGTACAATAGAGTTCTTTAGAGTATGCTAGAAAAATTGTGTAATTTAATACAATTAGACTTTTTATTTATGTATATACAACTTGATTAAAAATCATTATAAAATAATATTGCAATATTTTTATCTCAAATATTAGTTTTTTAGCGATATTTTGACAAGAAAACAACATTCATAATTCAATCAATCATTGCATTGAAGATTATTAACATCCTGATCTGGGTTGCTATTTTGATTCAGACTTACTTATTTCAACTAAATTTTACATTTCATTTATCAAAAATTAAATTAACTGCATTATGTAAATATTTCTTCCCATTAACAATGAAACATTTCAAGTTAATTTAGATTGGGATTGGGATCAAATGATAAACCGTAACCTGAAATACAAATTAAATTGAAATAACTCCTAAAATAATGAAAACACATGCATTTTATTTGAAATGTGTATTCATTATGTTAAACTAAAGTAGAAAAACATACAAAAAGTAGTTTAATTGCATTAAATTATAAAATTTTACTAGCGTTCTCTAAAGTACTCTATCGTACTAGTGTACTCTGTTTAGTAGATAGAACGTTCTATCGTTAAAATGATATTGTCCTACTGACCCGGTTTAACGATAGAATTCGTTCCGTGTATTCTTAATGTAGCAAAATAAACACGGGCGATAACTCGATTAGTGCATTTACCAGGAACAAACTAGAGAGTTCCGAATGTAAATATGGCAGGTAAATTTGAAGCGAGAGAAAAACTTTAGAAAATTAATTGGATTTTCGTATTTATATGGATTATTTTTTGGGATAAAAGGCATAAGCAATCTCAAAAAGGTTTGTTTTGATTATTTTGGTAGTTATTTCCACTGCAAATCATTTTATATTCTTCAAAATCGTTTTGGAGAGGATCCGCTCCGATTTGCTACATTGCAAGTATTAGTTAGAATAATCTAACTATGTCTCGGTACAAGCCCTCACCACAGTTAGAATACGTCCCATATACAGGAGACAGGTCATTTTAACGATAGAACGTTCTATCTATGCAAGTATATGGGACGTATTCTAACTGTGGTAGTGTTAAATCTGAAGCAAACTAGCATGGCGCGGCGCCATGCCCCTTTTTCTCGGCGCCATGCCCTTTTTTCAAGCGCCATGCCCTTATTTCCAAACCCAAAATTAATAAATATGGCCATTTTTGGCAATATTCCTTTGCTGTTCTGTTTATTCAGTGCATGCTGATAATCCCTTTGTGTATACAACGACAGGAAATCACTTCACGCCTGAACGAACGCTCACAGCCACCTGGCTTATTAACATGCCTCAGGCTGTCAGGGTAGAGGATTTAACTTCAGAAACTGTCATTTGATTGCATTGATTACGCAAGAATTAGCCAAAGACCAAAGTAAAATTAACTTGTAAATTATTAACTAATTAAAATGAGGATCGTTTTTTTTTTAAACCGAAAGTAGAATAAAACACATTGTTGAACTTGAAGAGAAAACGGATATTTTACCTGAATAAAATACTTACAGTGTACAAAAAAATTAATGTAATGAGATAAAAAGGCTTAAAAACAACAAGATAGTTTCTTTGATTCAATGACCTGATAGATTTGACAATCTGAGGGTCAATGTTTTTAATTAAAGCCAGATTTTTTTTTAAAGCAAATTATACTTGGCATTCATTTTTTTTCGGAGTAAGATTATAATTTTCACTGGATCATGTTGGTAGAATTATTTCAAAGTAAAGAGAATGGTCTCTTCATGTATTTTTCAAAATGACCCCCCCCCCTTTCCCTGAAAAAAGTATTTTTGTTTAATGTTTAACTTGTCTGTGCTAGTACACAAATAACAGTCCAAGCAGGTAAAAAAAAATCCTACCTCCAAACTTTAATAATTTTTGCACATATTTCAGATAGATTAATACAATTCCTTTCTCAAGTGTAACCTTCCTTCTTTTTTAATCAAAGAAATTGGATGTAAATGCCTTTTTTATATTCTTTTTGTTTCAATAATTGTCATGTCAACCCAGGTGTGCTTCATGTGTTGGTATTTAAAAAAAATGAATGAAAACAGATATATGGATATCTTTAAATTACTTTAATAAATAAAGATTATATGAAAGGATATTAAAATTTATTATAATAAACACGTAAAAGTATGTAAAAATTTATAAACGTTTAATATAATTTTAAACACATTAACATTTGTTTTAAAAGTGCCCTCGTGAGATCCTGTCGCGACACAAAGTGCCCTTTTGATTCCTTGATTACCATGCCCTTTTTAGGGTCTAGATTTAACACTATGTGGTGAGGGCTTGTACCGAGACACAGTTAGATTATTCTAACTATCTGTTTAGTAGGACCGTGTAGAAACTATATATTTTTATGAATAAGAAAAAACTCCAAAATTTTTCTTCTTCATTATCTTCAATAATGATGAGTTGTCTAGACATCAGCAAAATACTGTAGACGTACTTTTTTCCACGGGGTCATAATTCCGCGGAAAAAGAAAATTACGCGGATTTAGGACTGAATACGTCTACAGTAAATAAAAATTTAGAGAATATCATCTACAGTTTTGTAAATAAGAGTTAGTAGGGAGCCAATTAGATCTAAATATTTGTTGTCAAAATGATGATTTACCAGCTAGAGCCTTTCCTTTGAACATTAGCTTCTGCTCCTCAACTGGCATTGAAATTTGCATGGCAAGTATTTCTTTCAATCCAAGCACAGTTTGACTCGAAGATACCTGAAATAAAATATATATTTCACACGATGCATTACCTAATCATAAGTAATCATGTTTATAACTGTTTATTGTATAGGTACAATTAGTTTTTTTCTTCCCATTGGGAATGGAACCAGTTCATGTACCAATTCAATTGGGAAAAACAGCATTGAAATAGAGGAACATGATCAGAGGGGAATTTTCAATTTTCTGTCAAGTCCAAAAAAAATTAAATGTAAATTATTTTTTTGTTTACTTTAACCTTTCTACATATTTATTCATTGCTAATTTAAAGAAAAGTCAACAAGTTTACAAATTGTTCTCATGCTGTCATGTTTCGTAAGAGACCGACGATTACATGTGTCATCTGTATCTTCTCTTTATGTCGAGAAAATTCGGATGAATGGCTTTATACACAAATGCAAGTTTTAAAGAGGGCACGCCCTTTATGGTAGGAGTTGTATTAACTGAAAAATCATAATTGGTTTGTGATTAATAACGCAACTTACAGCAACTTGAAAGTCATTCCCTTTAAAAATTTTGACATAAATGTGCATTTTCGGTTTTGTTTTGACCTAGGCTGGTGCAGAGTGATACGTCATCAACGCGTATGGATATTTTGGCATTAAATTTTTTTTTCAGAAGACCCCATTTCAACTGGTTTGGATTCATGAGCTTTTTTCCCACTTTAAGGAAAAAGTATATAATTTATCAACAAGAAACATTTTAATTGATACCGGCATCTTTAAATATACAAAGGACTCTTTGGTTGGTTGCCGAAAATAGGACGTGTAATCGGCTCTTCCATTTATTAAATCGATACAGGCCACTGCTTATTAGTCTTTGAATTTATAGAAAATTAATATCTTCAGTTGCGATAAAAGTCTTACTTGATATTTGATTTTTACAATATATATATATAGAATTCTTATACATATATGAAAAAAGAGAAAAACAATGAGAAAACATTAAATTTGTATTACAGATGCAAGGGCGTGAGCATACAGATTGTCATGTTGGTCGATTCGTTGAATGGCTGGAAGTTCCTTGATTCTAACTGGCTCATAGTTGACCAACCAATTTCTCAAATTCTTCCCGATCACATAGGTTTGTTATTGTAATCTTACGACCAATTGGACAGCACGTGGAAAGTTTAATATCTTGTAAAGATGAAAAAGACCATTTATTGTCATTAAAATGAATTTAGTAGAGTGTTAAATTTTATTACGGCAAAAAACCTGGCGCCATCTTTTTTTCTGTTTTCGATTCTATCAAAATTATTGAAAGATATGTTTTACTGGCGATCATATGAAATTGGAGAGAGTTGACCGGTAAATATTTATTCCAAATGGTGTATTGCTTGTTTGTTCTGTTGTGACGATGTCAGTGATTTAGCTCACTCTTTTACACAAGCAGTTCCATAATTTCTTCAAAATTTAGGTCAAGACAGGTTGACCTAAAATCTTGTGTATTTACCACTGTTTACAACTGCTTGTGTAAGAAAATCTTTATATTTGTGTTTTATAAAGATTTAGCAGTTTTATAGAACGATAATTATCCTAACCATTAGACAGTTATTTGTTTTGTGCATCAATGGATTATTTTCCTTGTTTAGAGCCTTTTTTTACTTCCTCTAAGCTAAATCTCGGGAGTACAACAGGTCCAGTCCAAAGACTATTTCTACCTACGTAGCTATTAATAGCTACCTAGGTTTACTTTATATAATTTATGCATTTTGCGACCAAAAGACCAAACAGCGCAACATGGTAAATACCATTTTTTTTTTTATATGGTCACACTAATGATGAATACGACAAATTTTTTGCCAAAAAATGATGTTTTACATTAGTTTCTATGCAAAATTGATAATATACGAAGTTTCATTTTTTGGCCAAATTTTTGTCATATTCATCATTGTTTATCAAGAAATTGTGTGCTCACCATGTTACTTCCTGCATTTGGCCACAAAATGCAAGTAAAGCAGAAAGTAGGTAAAAATAGCTACTTTGGGTAGCTAATTTAATATATACGTAGGTAGAAATAGTCTACTGGACCTGTACAAGCTTATCTTTTAACATGCTTTAAAAGGTATATAAAACAATAGACTATATTAGAATATAGGTCAATTTTGCTGAATCAGTTTTATTAATAAGAAGACATTGCTGCAGTGTCAGAGGGTAGTAGTTAAGCCCGAGTGGCTACACGTCAATGATGATAGCATGCTTCATAACAACGGAAAGCATGTTGTTCACTGTAAAATTTCAGTACTTATGTAGAGAAGACATGTTTAATAAAATAATTTCAAGAGAATCAATCAGTATTTTTAATTGAAATGTTTGTTTTACAGGTTGCTATGGACAGTAACTCAGGAGATGGGGTCGGGGATGGAATGGGGGATTCTTTTATGGGGAGTCAATTTGTTATGGAGGGTAAGTTGTTTGCACCAACAGCTTGATGCTATAATTTGATACTCACATGGTAGCAGTGAAACTTTTTTTTTTCATCATTTCATGAAGAAATAGTTATTTTATAATAAAATAAATGTACCCTTGTCTTGGTATAGGTACCTTGACACAGCGACGATGCTTCCCATATACATGTATCAACAATGAACATGTAGCATGCCATTCATTACATGGTTACAACACCTCATATATAATGTTTATACTTGCAATGTACATGATGTACATAACACAGTAACAGTGCCTCTCAAATGCCTGCAATTAAGCAGAAAATTGCAGATTTCCTCCGACATAATTTTGGAGAAAAAAAATTAAGCTGCATTGAAAACCTTTTTGTATTTGAGTAATTTTGAGATCATAATCATTGTGAATACCTTTCAACCAAAAATTATTCCATATATACAGCAGAGGAATTCAAAACATTTCTCCAACTCCAATGTTTTTAACTTGCTTCAACATGTTCAAATTAACAAGCAATGTTGTCTTTCAAGCTCTCATTGTTTATAGTGTATACACCGTGTTTGAGTTATCACCTTGCTATATGGTTAATACACAGAGCCATTGAATAGTTGTGATTTTAACAAGGTGCCGTAAAGCCTTGAACACATAGGATCTAGATAATTATGATGAACTTGTTCTTCTTCAGGTGCAGGAGATGGAGAGGAATTAGGAGCCACAGAAAATGATGAGGACAACAGGGGAGACAATGAGCCTCTGAGAGAACAGGTCTGTTAATGCATGTCAAGGGGAAATAAACATTATAAAGATACTTATAAAAAGTGCTTTGTTGTTAGGAAGGAAAACCTTCAAAAAACCTGATATGCTTACCTGGACATTTTATTTTATGTGTTTTAATTTGTAATGTTTTCATGACAACATGCCAATTTATGATGGTGTTGTCAATAAATGAATTGAACTGAATAAATAATTCTGTGAGAAAACAGGTTCAAATCTGCTATAAAAAATTAATACTTGGGTGTACTGTAAAATGGGGAAGGAGGCAAGCCCATTACTTTTTAATATATTAATGATGATGAATTTGAATTTACTTGTAATTGAATAGGAGACCATCTGCACAATCAAACAATTTGGTAACTTTTATCACTTAGCAACTATTGAAACAACATACATAAAAACATTTTGACTTTAAAATTCATTTATGTGAAAATATCAAAATGTCTTCTCTTTTTGATGCAGGATCGTTTTTTACCCATTGCAAATGTTGCCAGAATTATGAAGAAATCTATACCCAAAACAGGAAAAGTAAGTTAAGTAATATATCACAATCTTTACAAGAGTAGCAAATAATGAAATTTTATAGAACTTAATTGGTGGAAAAGTCTTAAAAATGTTTTAGAGATACATGAGTATTTTTCTTTTCAGATAGCTAAAGATGCTAAAGAAACCGTACAGGAATGTGTATCAGAGTTTATTAGCTTCATCACTAGCGAGTATCCTTCAGTTCATGTTTCCATATTTATCCAGAATTCTGGTCATTTTAGGAAAAATGGGCCTCTGCTTAGGCCATCTTTTAAATAATGTTTGTTTACCCTCCACCGACTCAAGGGGAAAAAATTGGGTTGGTCAGAAGGTGAATTTTTTTTCATGGAAAATTTCAATATATATATTGATGGGATGGGGAAATTCAGGAATAAATAGGGAAAAAATATTATTTAAATGTTAGGAAAAGAGTTGAGTTTTAGTCGGTCCATTTTTAGCCAGATAATCCGGAGTGGAAAAACAACCCACATTTGGCCTTATTAAAATAAAATTTTTCTGTATTAAACTTTCACCAGTTTCTAACAGCAATTACAGAATAAAATAAAATTCAGGCAAAATTTTAAAACGCTATTTTGGGCACAATTTGAGAAAAATCAAAAATTTAGATAGAAATTATTGAAATTTATAAAAATCAAAACTACATATCTGAGAATTTACATTCAAAGGTAAAGTAAATCTTTTAATTTGAACCTTGGAAGCATGCAGCATTATGGCTTTTCTTCTAGAGAATATTGATTGAAATTTGTTTAAATGCACTTGTTGTGTCCTCACTGTAAAGGCTTCCTTAACACAATACCCAGAGCTAGCGAGAGATGCCACCAGGAGAAAAGGAAAACTATTAATGGAGAGGACATCCTGTTTGCTATGTCCACGCTGGGGTTTGACAGTTACGTGGAACCACTGAAGCAGTATCTACAAAAATATAGAGAGGTTAGATTTACACATAGACTCCTAGCATGTTTAATACATCTACTGTTTCAATTTCTACAATGAAAGCCATATGACATTTTCTTTGGCATATCATGAATTTTTTTATTTTTTGAAAAATGTTCTCACCAGCAATAAAGCAGATTTATTTCAGTCAGTAACAGATATCTCAGATTAAAAAGTTTTTAAACAAGTTATTGGAAATGTAAAATGTTTTAGTCAAGGCCTGACTGAAGTAAGTTTGGAATTTGTCAGAATTGTCATTTGTACCATGTCGATGTTGGAATAGTTAGATTATCAGGTGTTTGTGTGTTTTTCAGTCCTCCAAAGGAGAAAAGGGTGTCCCAGCTCTTGGGGCAGAGGGAACTCTTGATGAACTGGCGGAGGAGTCATTCTGTAAGTTTTACTGAACAAATGCAGAGTTTCCGAAAACCAAATATTTCTATCAGTCATTCGGACTGATGACTTAATGCGCTCTACCAGTTTGAAGCGTATTCTATCGGTTCAAATATATTTTAAAATATACAGTGTGTATTTCATATAAGATTTAATTCAAACATACATGCCAACTTTTGAAAATTCCCATGGGGGATTTAGCGCGTGACGGCAATTTTCAAGCTTTAAATTCGCGACATTTTGTCGTGAAATTAAATGATAATGAAATGATTTTTTTTAAAATTTATAATATTTGATATCACTTATTAATACTACTAAAGGATTAATTTAACACAAAAAATTTAATTAAAAAAAAAAATTTTAAAAATGTTTTTTTTCCGAAATATTTTTGCTAAAATAAGTGCCTCTCTCATTAAAAACATGATTTTTTTTTCCTACCAGGACACATAATTTAGTGAAAAATTGAAAATTGTACAACTTTTAAATCATTTTTTTCAAAGGCTAAAAAATATATGAGGTTTTGATACTGTAAAGTCCTGTTTCTGGAAACATTTTTGAGATTTTTTCATTTATATTTCAACTAATTAGAAATTCTAATAAGGTATTAGATTTACTGAAATTTATACCACCTATCTAAAAGAGAATTATTTTTTTTACAGTCATGAAATTTGTCAGGCTTGATGGTGCCATGTGGGTATTTCCTTAAGTCATGCACATACCTAAAAAATATTACTTTTGGGAGAAGGAAGGGAAAAGAAATTCTAATTGACACACACTTGATTGTTTCATCTTAATTTCATAATATTTTAACTGGCAAACTTTACAATAGTTTTCATTATAGGTAGATAAAATCAGCAGCTATGCTTTGTAGTTTTCTACTTTCGTTTTCAAAAAACGATCTCTTTGGATTCCGATTTTATAGTTTGATTAGTATTTCATTGTCTTTAATTTACGTTTTTAATATAATGACTAACAATTAACACGTTAATCTATGTGTTTCACCTTGCATACCCCTTAAAATTGACAAGATAATCCCCTAATTGCCCCAAGCTATAAGCAACTTGTATCTAGACAACTGCGTGCGTTCAGGCGTGAAGTGATTTCCTGTGGTTAATTAACATTGTTAGATAAACAATGAAACTTATCTGAGTGCATTGAATAAACAAGTCTGACATTGTTATCCCGATTGTCAAAATTCAGCGGTAGGGAATCTTTTATAATCGGAAATATTGGTGATTTTTTCAAATCGGGAAATTAGGGCAATTTTTCTTTCCCGATCGGGAAGGCGGGATGAAAGGGTAAAATAGGGAGGATCCCGCCTAAATCAGGAAAGTTGGCATGTATGTTCAAAAGAAAATGGCATTGAATTTGTAAAAATTTTTGTGGCTCACCAACACTGATTGTGATACCAGCATTATGCAACTATAAATAATTCAAGCATGGCACCAGCCCACATAGGCTAAAGTCACTAGCCCAAAGTAAATATTGGGGGAAAGAAAAACTTATTATGAAAAAAAATTAATTCTTGAAAAAGAAAATTTCTAAAGGTTACCAGGCCTAGAATTCTTTTTATATTAAAAGTTTAATTCTCACTTGTAAAATTGAATCGTATATAAGAAACAGTTATGATAGGAATTCAAAAAAAAAAAAAAATTATCTTTACGTTTTCTCAGTGGGCATTGCACTTCATGACCTACCGGTATATAATGCATGTGTTTAACGATGAGTGGAGGAAATTCAGAGTAGGAAAAAACGATCGTTTTTGGAAGTAAATAAGTCAAGTAGAATTGCAAAATGGATAAGATTCTGGCTATTTATGAAGAATAAGAGGATGCTGCATTGGAGACATTGCAATAGATCAGAGTACAATAAATTAATCAGGACAAGCCCTCACCACAATCGGTCACACGGACCGGTACTTTAACGAATTTCATCGGACATTTCGATTTTCTTTCGGTTTTGCCGTTATGACCAATAGTTTTCGGAAACTTTACAAAGGAAATTCAGGGTTATCATTGGTTATAGTGTACATAATTATGCTTAAAATAACTAGAAATTGTACGTAGGAAAGTTGCGGATAAAGTAGACATGCACTTGTATTATTATTCTTTTATGTGGTTGTCAAAAATACTTGTAATGAATCAACAATGCTAATTAATGTTGATTTATTTTTACAATATGAAGTATGATAAATTTAAGAATTTAAAGTGGACTTATGCAAAGTTTTAGACCATGCAAAATTTTATTTAGTTGAGAATAGCCGTGAAAGAGGTTTTTTTCCCCCTAATTCACTAAAATAAATAATGTAAAGCTCTTTAGAATAGTATGGTATTTGTAGAAGTCTAAGTATATAAAAGTTTAATGCATACATCATTTTATTGGATCACTTATGTAAAAATGTCCTTGTTTATTTATATTATAGCCCAGACGTTGTCTACAAGTCTGCTGACCAATGAACAGCCAAATGCACAGGGTGTCATCTATACACAATACTCTGGAGCGGTAGATATTTTATAGTCAATACAAAAGAAAACAAATCTGACTGTGCAATGATGAAATGGCATTTATAAATTGCATGGATATCTATAAATGAGTCTGAAATGCAGCCACATTAGCTCACCTGAGCAGAAGACAGCAAAAATATTATTTGTTGCCTGTCATTGTGATTGACTTAGCCATTGTAAACTTTATACAATTTTAGCTTCTTCTGAACCACTGGGCCAACTTCAATTCAGATTAAATAAAGAATATTCGAATTTGATCCAATGAAGGATCATATATTTTAATTCATATCATGTCCACACACTGCAGATCTTCGTGTTGGTTTATTTAATGGTACACCTATTGCCACACTCAACATGTTATTATGAAAAATTATTGACATTTAATTTTATATTGCAGCTTCCTCAGAATATGAGCTTTTCCTGATTGAGGATTGACCTGTATGATAACCTCTCTCTGTGTGTGTTATAAAGACAGAGCCTTGGAAAGCTTTTAATTCAGAAGAGGAGAAAATTAATCAGACAAGATGTGTTGTTTTCTTTATGGATTGTGACTGTCCTATACGGAGATTGTGTGGTGCTATGTCTCAAACAAGTTACTGGCGAGCTACACTGCGTGTTGCAGCGGCAGCATTTTCTACAGCTGTTAATGTATCAGATAATATCTTGTAATCTACAATGAATATTTATTTAAAAATAATAATTTAAAATCTTTTGATTGAATATGATTTTTGTTAATAGGTGTAATGTTAATATTTTTAAAAATGTTTTATTAATTTTACAGCATGCATTCATCTACTGTATAATAGTTTCTTCATATTTAAAATAGAGTTGTATTTATGATTTTGTATGTAGAGGTAAACATTGCAATTGTTGAAGGTGTCATAATACTGTCATTTTTATTCTGACTCACAGGGCAGTGTTGCAGTAGTTACTTACATGCACAAAAATTCAAAAATGGCTATATTTATGCCCCCCTTCGAAGAAGGGAGGGCATATTGCTTTGCTGCTGTCGGTCGGTCGCTCTGTTGGTCCACTTAGTTTCCGTTCATTTTCTTCGCAACCGTTGCACATACTCAAATGAATTTGGTATACAGATACCTTGGTATATCACATGAATATCTAGGCCAGGTTCTGTTTTGGGTACGATCGCACCATTTTTGACAGAGTTATGCCCCTTGGACTTAAAAAAATTTCAATTATTTGCAGTTTCCGTTCATTTTCTTTGCAACTGTTGTTCATACTGAAATGAAATTTGGTATACAGATACATCACATCAATATCTAGGTCAAATTTTGTTTTGGGTACGATCGCACCATTTTTGACAGAGTTATGCCCCTTGGACTTAGAAAAATTCCAATTATTTGCAGTTTCCATTCATTTTCTTTGCAACTGTTGCACATACTGAGATGAAATTTAGTATACAGATTTATCAGATGACTATCTAGGTCAAGTTTTGTTTTGGGGACAATAGTGCTTTTTGACAGAGTTATGCCCTTTTGGACTTGGAAAAATTCCAATTTGAAGGGGACGGGGGGCAAAAGTGTTTTACAAACATCTCTTGTTTTATATAGAACCAGTAGTTTTCCCTGAAATCATACAAAATTGACTCCACAAAAACTGCATTTTTATACCCCACGCAACTAGTTGCGGGAGGTATAATGTTTTTGACCCGTCCGTCAGTCAGTCAGTCAGTCAGTCAGTCAGTCAGTCAGTCCTCTTTTTTTGTCAGCGCAACTCCTCATAAACCGCTGCACAGAATTTCTTTTGCAGGTATTTAGGACACAATGTGTAGATGTGCATATTATAAAATTCCGATTATTTTTTATGAATATATTTTTAACTTAGGCATTTGGCTATACCTTGAATTTAGAGATGAACAGTTTGTCAGCGCAACTCCTCATAAACCGCTGCACAGAATTTCGTCAAACTTTGCAGGTATTTAGGACACAATGTGTAGATGTGCATATTACCAGGAAATTCCGATTCCATTATTTTTTCCGGGACTTTCCACACTAAAAACTTAGGCATTTGGCCATACCTTTTATATAGAGGTGAACAGTTTGTCAAAAACCGCTGCACAGAATTTTTTTCCTTTGCAGATATTTAGGACACAATGTGTAGATGTGCATATTACCAGGAAATTCCAATTCCATTATTTTTTCCGGAAATTCCGCACCTTTCAACTTAGGCATTTGGCCATACCTTTTATATAGAGATGAACAGTTTGTCAGCGCAACTCCTCATAAACTGCTGCACGGAATTTCGTCAAACTTTGCAGGTATTTAGGACACAATGTGCAGATGTGCATATTACCAGGAAATTGATTTGATTATTTTTTTCCGGGAATGTCCGCACTTTTTAACTTATGCATTTGGCCATACCTTTTATATAGAGATGAACAGTTTGTCAGCGCAACACTTCATAAACCACTGCACAGAATTTCGTCAAACTTTGCAGATATTTAGGACACAATATGTAGACGTGCATATTTCCAGGAAATTCCGATTCCGTTATTTTTTCCAGGAATTTCCGCAATAAATACTTAGGTGTTCATATTACCAGGAAATTCCGATTCCTTTATTTTTCCGGGAATTTCCACACTTTCCAACTTAGACTTTTTGGCCATATTTTGAATATACAGATGAACAGTTTGTCAGCACCACTCCTCTTAAACTGTTGTACATAGTTTCGTCAACCTATGCAGATGTTTAGGACATATTCCATTATTTTATCCCAAAGAGTTTTGCGTATTATTCAAGGATATTTCTCACCCACCCACCCCACCCCACCCCCTTCAAATTAATGCCTGTTTAACATGTTTGGATTTGTATAATGCCAAGAAATTTTGATTCCATTATTTATCTAGAAACTTCATTCCACATTTAAATGTCCTCATATGCAAGACATTTTGATGTGAAGATTTTTTTGCAATTATTGCATCTATACTATGTATTTAAAGTGCACTAGCTGTGCCTTTCATTATGTGTTTCACTGTCAAGTTTTGGGGGAGCGTGGGGTATGTGAGCTAGCTCACTTTTTCTTTCATTACTTACAGAAATAATGAAAATAATGATTTGAACATGTTAAATATGAAATTTTATCTGCACACTAAAGGCGCAAAACAGAACCCCCATCCTCCAATATCTTTTCATAAGGAAGTAGCTTATTTATAAATGATTATTTTTTATGAATATATATTGTATTGTCTTTTGTATTGTGATTTGTGACAATAATTAACAAAAAAAAAAAATAGAAAACTTACCTACAGTGAAACATGAAACTTATTCTAGTAATGGTCATCAAAATACAATGTAGCATTTTTTTCCTCTTGATAATTTGTCCAAAATTAGATCATGTAATAATTGTGTACAAATACAGTCCATGTTTTATCTGATTTAGAGATGAATTTGTAAAGTTTTATTTGTATCTTATTTAATACATGTTCAGTGTAAGATAATGTGATTTGATTTTCTTTAATGTTTATGATATGATTTTGCATTTGTTGTATTTTATGTAGATCTCAATTCAAGTTCACCTGTGCTAACTTTTTTTTTCAACTTGATAAGAGGTGTATGCAAATTTTATTACCGATAAATTTCATAAAATAGTTTTTATTATTTCCTTTTCAAGAATTCAGGTTTTTAACTCTTAAATATCTGCATTTTTCATATGTATACATTATTTAAGTATCATTAAAATTTGAGCCTCATATTAAAAAAAAATCCTGTGGGATAATGCTTTTTGTTTTTTGAGAACCCATGTTTCTGTATACTGATAAAAGAAGTGGAAAAATAAAAATTCAGTGCAAAGATTATATTAAGTTTCAGTTTATTATTTTCAGGAAACTTATGTACAAATCATATACCTTCAGGATATGCAATCCTCAGAAAGAATAACTTAATATTAAAAATTTTAAAAAATCTCAAAATGAACACGAGAAATTGAAAACTTTTCATGCAACAATATTTATTTTATGAGTCTATAATATAATTCAAGGTTCTTGAAGTCTTAGAAATGTTACTGTAAAAATGACATTTGCACCCTATAAAAGTAAAAAAAAAAAAACACACACACAAAAAAAAACAAACAAACAAATACTGTTTTAGAGAAATGGGACTTTTTAGCTCACCTAGCTGAAGGCTCAAGTGAGCTTTTCTGATCACATTTTGTCCGTCGTCCGTCCGTCTGTCCGTCTAGCTGTCCGTCCGTCTGTAAACTTTTCACATTTTGGACTTCTTCTCAAGAACCACTGGGCCAATTTTGACCAAACTTGGTACAAAGCATCCTTGGGTGAAGGGGAATTCAAATTGTTAAAATGAAGGGACATATCCCCTCGCAAGGGGAGATAATCAAGAAAAGAGAAAAATAGGGTTGGGTCATTAAAAAATCTTCTTCTCAAGAACCACTGGGCCAGTAAAGCTGAAATTTATGTGGAAGCATCCTGGGGTAGTGTAGATTCTAAATTGTTCAAATCATGACCCCCGGGAGAAGGGCGGGGCCACAATGGGGAATCCAAGTTTTACATAGAAATATATAGAAAAAATCTTTGAAAATCTTCTTCTCAAGAACCACTGGGCCAGAAAAGCTGAAACTTATGTGGAAGCATCGTGGTATAGTGTAGATTCTAAATTGTTCACATCATGACCCCCGGGAGAAGGGCGGGGCCACAATGGGGAATCCAAGTTTTACATAGAAATATATAGGAAAAATCTTTAAAAATCTTCTTCTCAAGAACCACTGTGCCAGAAAAGCTGAAACTTATGTGGAAGCATCCTGGTATAATGTAGATTCTAACTTGTTCAAATCATGACCCCCGGGGGAAGGGTGGGGCCACAATGGGGTATCAAAGTTTTATATAGAAATATATAGGAAAAATCTTTGAAAATCTTCTTCTCAAGAACCACTGTGCCAGAAAAGCTGAAACTTATGTGGAAGCATCCTGGTGTAGTGTAGATTCTAAATTGTTCAAATCATGACCCCCGGGGGAATGGCGGGGCCACAATGGGGAATCAAAGTTTTATATAGAAATATATAGGAAAAATCTTTGAAAATCTTCTTCTCAAGAACCACTGGGCCAGAAAAGCTGAAACTTATGTGGAAGCATACTGGTTTAATGTAGATTCTAAATTGTTCAAATAATGACCCTCGGGGGAAGGGCGGGGCCACAATGGGGAATCAAAGTTTTACATAGAAATATATAGGAAAAATCTTTGAAAATCTTCTTCTCAAGAACCACTGTGCCAGAAAAGCTGAAACTTATGTGGAAGCATCCTGGTGTAGTGTAGATTCTAAATTGTTCAAATCATGACCCCCGGGGGAATGGCGGGGCCACAATGGGGAATCAAAGTTTTATATAGAAATATATAGGAAAAATCTTTGAAAATCTTCTTCTCAAGAACCACTGTGCCAGAAAAGCTGAAACTTATGTGGAAGCATCCTGGTGTAGTGTAGATTCTAAATTGTTCAAATCATGACCCCCGGGGGAAGGGCGGGGCCACAATGGGGAATCAAAGTTTTATATAGAAATATATAGGAAAAATCATTGAAAATCTTCTTCTCAAGAACCACTTGGCCAGAAAAAGTGAAGCTTATGTGGAAGCATTCTGGGGTAGTGTAAATTCTAAATTGTAGGAATCATGACCCCCGGGGGAAGGGCGGGGCCATTGTAGGGGAATCCAAGTTTTACATAGAAATATATACGAAAAATCTTTGAAAATCTTCTTCTCAGGAACCACTGGGCCAAAAAAGCTGAAACATATGTGCCCATGGAAGGATCATGGGGTAGTGTAGATTTCAAAATGTCTAAATTATGATCAGTGGGGTAGGGTGGGGATGCATTATGTATAACAAGGGGGAAATCTGGTAAAGAACAGAATGGTCAAAGCTTCTTAGGTGAGCGATGTGGCCCATGGGCCTCTTGTTTTAATGTACTCTTGGATACCAAGACTTATTAGCCTGATATGACATTAGAAGTGAATTGTGTTTTCTTTTTTGAATGCCTAGATACCTATTGTATAGTTTTTTAGCTCACCTGAGCCGAAGGCTCAAGTTAGCTTTTCTGATCACATTTTGTCCGGCGTCCGTCTGTCCGTCTGTCTAGCTGTCTGTCTGTCTGTAAACTTTTCACATTTTCGACTTCTTCTCAAGAACCGCTGGGCCAATTTCAACCAAACTTGCCACAAAGTATCCTTGGGTGAAGGGGATTCAAGTTTGTTCAAATGAAGGGCCACTCCCTCATTCAAGGGGAGATAATTAGGAATTAATGAAAATTTGGTGGCATATTTTAAAAATCTTCTTCTCAAGAACCACTGTGCCAGGAAAGATGAAACTTATGGGGAAACATCCTCAGGTAGTGTAGATTCAAATTTGTTCAAATCATGACCCCCAGGGGTAGGGAGGGGCCAAAATGGCCGACCAAACTTTTATATAGAAATATATAGGATAATTCTTTAAAAATCTTCTTCTCAAGAATGACAAAGCCATAATTCATCATATTTATATGGGAGCATGCTCAGGTAGTGTAGATTCAAGTTTGTTCAAATCATGACCCCCGGGGGTTGGGCGGGGCCAAAATGGCCGACCAAAGTTTTACATGGAAATATATAGGAAAATTCTTTAAACATCTTCTTCTCAAGAATGACAAAGCCATAATTCATCATATTTATATGGGAGCATGCTCAGGTAGTGTAGATTCAAGTTTGTTCAAATCATGACCCCCGGGGGTAGGGCGGGGCCAAAATGGCCGACCAAAGTTTTACATAGAAATATATAGGAAAATTCTTTAAACATCTTCTTCTCAAGAATGACAAAGCCATAATTCATCATATTTATATGGAAGCATGCTCAGGTAGTGTAGATTCAAGTTTGTTCAAATCATGACCCCCAGGGGTAGGGCGGGGCCAAAATGGCCGACCAAACTTTTACATAAAAATATATAGGATAATTCTTTAAACATCTTCTTCTCAAGATTGACAGAGCCATAATTCATCATATTTATATGAGAGCATGCTCAGGTAGTGTAAATTCAAGTTTGTTCAAATCATGACCCCCGGGGGTAGGGCGGGGCCAAAATGGCTGACCAAACTTTTAAATAGAAATTAATACATAGGATAATTCTTTAAAAATCTTCTTCGCAAGAGTGACAAAGCCATAATTCATCATATTTATATGGGAGCATGCTCAGGTAGTGTAGATTCAAGTTTGTTCAAATCATGACCCCCGGGGGTTGGGCGGGGCCAAAATGGCCGACCAAAGTTTTATTAGAAATATATAGGAAAATTCTTTAAACATCTTCTTCTCAAGAATGACAAAGCCATAATTCATCATATTTATATGGAAGCATGCTCAGGTAGTGTAGATTCAAGTTTGTTCAAATCATGACCCCCGGGGGTAGGGCGGGGCCAAAATGGCCGACCAAAGTTTTACATAGAAATATATAGGAAAATTCTTTAAACATCTTCTTCTCAAGAATGACAAAGCCATAATTCATCATATTTATATGGAAGCATGCTCAGGTAGTGTAGATTCAAGTTTGTTCAAATCATGACCCCCAGGGGTAGGGCGGGGCCAAAATGGCCGACCAAACTTTTACATAAAAATATATAGGATAATTCTTTAAACATCTTCTTCTCAAGATTGACAGAGCCATAATTCATCATATTTATATGAGAGCATGCTCAGGTAGTGTAGATTCAAGTTTGTTCAAATCATGACCCCCGGGGGTAGGGCGGGGCCAAAATGGCTGACCAAACTTTTACATAGAAATACATAGGATAATTCTTTAAAAATCTTCTTCGCAAGAGTGACAAAGCCATAATTCATCATATTTATATGGGAGCATGCTCAGGTAGTGTAGATTCAAGTTTGTTCAAATCATGACCCCTGGGGGTAGGGCGGGGCCAAAATGGGCGACCAAAGTTTTACATTGAAATATATAGGAAAATTCTTTAAAAATCTTCTCAAGAATGACAAAGCCATAATTCATCATATTTATATGGAAGCATGCTCATGTAGTGTAGATTCAAGTTTGTTCAAATCATGACCCCCGGGGGTAGGGCGGGGCCAAAATGGCCGACCAAAGTTTTACATTGAAATATAGGAAAATTCTTTAAACATCTTCTTCTCAAGAATGACAAAGCCATAATTCATCATATTTATATGGAAGCATGCTCAAGTAGTGTAGATTCAAATTTGTTCAAATCATGACCCCCAGGGGTAGGGCGGGGCCAAAATGGCCGACCAAAGTATTTAAAGATATACATGTATGAATAGGAAAATTCTTTTAAAATCATTTTCTAAAAATAGCAAATCCATGATCGGTCATGGGACTACTTTCGGATTTAAACTTTACAATAAAAAGCCATTTTCTACTTTTACCTACCCTTAGTGCTCAGGTGAGCGATGTGGCCCATGGGCCTCTTGTTAACCTAATGAAATGAAAGTATATTAGTGATCAATTTTTAATTTCAAAAGGCATAACTGATATTTCCATTTGCTTATCCTGAATATATATTGAATTGATGATTTTCCTTAGTATCCTGATTAATGTTGAAGAAACACTGTGGGTACATATAATTATATACTTTTCTGTGGTGGTACTGGTAAACGTAAAAGAAGATGGGGCGTGTGATTTGCAGAAATCATGATTTGGTTGGCTGATCATAGCTGGTCAGATTTTAAAAACAGCCATAGGATTTTGTTTCATTTAGTTTGAAATACCTTGTTACAACATGCCTTGTTGTAACATTAAAACCGTTTTACTTAGTAGGAACAATAACGTAATAACGCTTCACAAAAAATAATCACTTATAAGATAGAAGGCATAGAGATACATGTATAAGTGTGCAAGTACATCAAACTTTCAGTAGAATAGAAGATTGGAAATTTTTTCTCTCTCGGTGCAATTTCATGAACCAAAATTTATCCAATTCAAAATTTTAATAAATCAGTACATAAAATGAAACTGATAAAAAAAAATAGATTGTTTGCTTTTTTTAAAAAAAAAATATTGATGCCCCATGCGAGGCTCAAACCAGAATTTTTTACTTCTAGTGCAGTGAATAGGTAGCCCATCTTACTGAGCTATCACTGCTACACAATATCATAGTCTTTAAAAGGACAAAGAAGCCCAACATTTAGACTGGTAGATTTTTTTGGGAAAAGCTGATTTTTTGTGGTCTCTGGGTCTTTTCTTTGAATGAAAATTCACATAAATTACATAAATTTCAGTTTGACCCACTTTTGAATAATTTTACCAATATTTTTGAACTTTTAATCTTGACCTCAGAGTTGGACAATCTTTTTAAAAGCTTTAACCTTGGATATAACTTTTGAACAGTTGGTGCTAAGGCTTTCATATTTCACATGTATATTAAAATCCTTATTACAAGGACTTCCCTCGGGTACCCCCCCCCCCTCCCCTCCTTGAAGTTTGAGTTGGACTTTCTTATGAAAAAACCTTGACCATGAGCACAATTTTTATCCATGGATGCTAAGCTTTTCATGTTTTACATGTGCAATCTTGTCACAAAACTTACATGTGTACCTTGGATACATATGTACCAAGAATTTTGACCTCTTGACCTTCTTGTTTGAGTTTGACATACTTTTGGGGGAAAACCCCTGCAATCTTGGTCATAACTTTTAATGGTCTGCGTTAAAATTAGGACCTTAATTGATATTTCACAAATGTATTTCTTGTGACAAGACCTTTTTTCTTGTTCCTGATTTTTTTTTTCGCCTGACCTTGACCTTTGACCTGCATATAAGCAACTTTAACCCTCGCCATGTTCTCTGAATTTTAATGTTCTCTAAAATCTTGGACGAAGGACTACTGCCAAGAATTTTCATTAAATGAAATTTCTGAATAAAGATAGAGGAAAATACAATCATGTAAATTGCTTTACTAATTGAATTGACTACATAAGCTATTTATTGTTAAGAATTGTTATGAAACAAAATAGTATTCGCAAACATATTTATCTACACCGATGAATACAGCATTTTATATGTTGCAATGTAAACAAAGAATAATATGCCTGAATCGAAAATGGACGGCAACGAATAAGCGTTGTATACATGATGAAACCTGCACTTAATTTGTTCAATACTTGATTCAAAGGACTTCAACAATCTTTGGCTCACAGTACAAATGGTCTGGCAAAAATACCAAATATAAAGGGGGAAAAAATAAAAGGTCTTTTCTCAGGATGAGTGGAAATTCCTGAGATATTACATATTTGAGGTCTACCACTGATTGATCACGAAGTAAGTCCAACAAAAGCATCTGCGGTGAGTTCTGCGTTTTCTGCGTGTTTGTCAGTGATGACAGATGCCATTTCAGACTTTCCCATCTCGGTAACAGCCCGTGCGAGTTCTTTCACTTTTTCGCGCTCTTTTATCTTTGGACGCATGTCTTTCCAAGAGTCTTTCCACGTGAGCAGTATTTTCTGTGTAGTGTCAATCCGGGTTCTGTCGCTGACGTCACTATACCCGTCGTCTGATGCAGCGTTCGCGATGTTGACTATGGTGGTGGTTGGGACATTTAGATACATTCCTAGCATTAATCCGCTGTATTTATCCACGGCTCCCAGCTCCCTTGACAGCACGGCGAGACTGGTGTCCTTTAGCACTGCTGCCTCCTTCTTTGAACTCACGGATGATGCTGCTGAAATATTGTAGAAAACATTTATAAAACATGCGTTATATTAACACACTACTAGGTATATACTGTACAATTACAGTACAACTACACCTGAATTGCTGTCTTTTGCACAACTTAAAAACTTATGGGGTTGTAGTTTGGAGGTGTCAACAATTAAATCTGGCATGGCATTTTGCTAATTCGAACACGCGTTACAATAATGCTGAAAGTTCAAGTGATACGCACTTTTCTTGATTAAAAACGTGCTAGATGTGCATGCGACAACAACCCAAGGCCTTTAAAAATAGTTTCACAATACACTGCTTGAAGCCTTTTAACAAAGTATCGGTAGAATACCATTCCGTTGTATAAAAAGAAGTACTAGTATTTATAAAAAAAAAGGTAAAAATAGGTACAATACTTGAAACTTACATTTTTGAAGTTTTGGATTCGTATTCTTGGGTTGATTTTGTTTTGCTGGTGAATTTTTCCCCATATCCAAAATTATAAAATCCCCTTTCTCGATTTAAAACGAAAAATAAAAGATCTAGAACTACCTTTTAAGAGTGTATATAAAACTCTATCGTTGGCCAAGAAAGCTTTTAATTTGCACTTATTCCCAGGTCCACGTGATCATAGCAATCTAAACCCGAAAATCGAAGCATTTCTAATCCCAGACTTTGGAGCGTTTCTTTGCACAATTAACAGATAATATTTCACCCTCCACGTCTTTGTGTTTTGGACATTATTGATTGGTTGATTGATTTTTCATTCTATGAAGTACAGGCTGTAATTGACACTTGTCTGTCCGGGTGTCATGATCACGGATAAAAAGTACGCAGGGAGTATTTATACAATACAAACGTATGCTACAATCTAACACAGCATAGAATAGTACATGACAATACAAAGCGAATCTGGAATTTTTGCATTTTATGCCCCTACAATCAAATATGAGGAGGTATATAGTTTTTGCCCTGACTGTCCGTCTGTCTAGCAGTATATCTGTTTGTCTGCAAAAACTTTAATCCTGTCCATAACTTTTTGAGTGGGTGGTGCTATTTCACAGTTGAAGAGTTCTGCAGGTGCCACTTAATTTGTCCTTTTGACCTATATTTTCGAGTTTGACTCACTTTTACAAAAAAAATTAACAAATTTTAACTTTGACCATAACTAGGTACCTATAGTTGGTACTAGGGCTTTCATGCCTCACAAGTTTATTCATTGTGACCTTTCAAAGAGATTAAATTTTTTGACCTTGACCTTAGAGTTAGACCCACTTAGAAAAAAAAACTTCAACCGTGGCCATAACTTGTGAACAGTAAGTATTAGGGCTTTTATATTTTCACACGTGTATTTGTGACAAGACCTTCCTTTGAATATATATGAACACTTTTGACTTTAGACTTTCGCGTGCATTTCTTGAAACCCTAACCCTCCCTATAACCTGCCATACGGAGGCATCAGTGTTTCACAAACACATCCTTATTAGATAGATTTTGGGTTTTCAAAATTGTCTTGACAAAAGTATTTATCTTTGAACAAAACAAATTTGAAGAAGAATTCTTATATAAAGTGCAATAATTTGAGTGATAGTAATTTCTCTGGCCATGTATACTTATTGCAATATTCTGTGTATGGTACATTGTATACGCGATAATTAAGAAAGTGTAATAAATATGTATTTAAAAAAATAAATCAAAAAGCCCTGGGGTCATATATATATAATTTAAGGCCTTTTTAGGGGGTTCTTTCCACAAGTATAATGTGCAAGTCGTGGGAAATTTTTATTGTTAATTTTTTTTTTTTGCCGTGTTTTTACATTAAATTGTCAAAAATAAGGAACGGGGTATGAATACACAAAGGTCCAAGTTTATCTATTCTATCAACTGTGTCAAGAAAGCTGGGAGATACATGTATATTTTTGTATACTTGTACTATATATTCTATGACTTATTAATTTAAAATATACAATAAAGCGTTATTTACACAACCAGGGGCCCCGACCTGGCATCGTTTTTGAAAGGGGGTAGCCAGAGAAAAAAAAAAACCTTAAAACCTGAGAAACACAAATAATCAAATACAAATCCAAACTCAAAATCCTATTTCATGGAGGGGGGGGGGGTAAGGGATCGAGTAAGGTTCAAAGGTTCGAACTTCTGTAAGTATTTTTTATTATTCCAAACACGACTACATTACCACATTACCCTTATTTGGCAATTCTGCAAAAGAAGGGTGCATGTTAGTTGGACTTGAAATGAAAATTGTTTAATAGTAAAAGGTTATGTTATGAATAAGTGGGGGCTTTTGATGCTACGTCCTTGCATGACAGTACTATACAATTGTGTGAGGCGTAAACCCTCCTTGGTTGTTCATATTTTATCCCTGTTCGTCTTTCCCTACATAATCGTAAAATTTTTAAACTTCACCTCAAATAAATTAACACCAGTACTGTACAGGATTCTTTAATGTTTACCGTGTGGGATATAGAATACAGAACTTATCACAGAATGCATTTGATCTTCTCGTGCAGATGTGTTACAATGTTAGATTAATCGATTTGTGGATTTCAGGCAACACTGAACACGAAGTTCAATATATGCCATTGATTTTCCAAACATTGTAATCAAAATAATACCGGAACAGCTTTAAATAATTGTAGTGTTGTGTAGGCATCTACACATGATCTAGGAAACCGTTAAAAATTGAGTGTCATCGTAGACATCTTTAGTATTTTGACACACAAAAAACCACATCTGATTAAACTGACAAACTGCTGTTTTTTTTAACAACCCACACACACATACACTTGGAAATCTCCTAACAATACAAACTCTAGCACGTATCGGAACAATTCGAATTTCTGGCATGCCAACAAACAACTATATATAACCGAAGACCAAATTTTATTTGTAATTATATCCACCAATTAATTAATTAGGAAGAAACGATGCGTGTTGAACTTACCGTCGTCTGTCATTGTCTTTGCTATGTGTCCCTTTTTAGTGATTTTAAAATCCCAAGAGAATTAACGCTCAAAAGAATTCTCCAGTGTAAACAAATCTCATAGCAACGAAGTTGACACCACACTTGTACCTTTAAAAGCCAGTCGTCTAAACTCAAGGTTATATCCGTATATATATCTGCTGATCTGTATAGATATACATACGCTTTGAATTAAAACTGTCAAATCAATAAAATAAGAATGCTTTTTATTTTTGCATAAATTCTATCAGAGAACTACATATATATATTGACACGCAAAAGAAACGCATGCAACAAGCAGTAATCTACAAATGTTTGAATTTTTTTATCGTAAGATTTTCAAAAGCGAATAAAGTAAGGCTAAACTCACTTTTCAGAACATCAGAGATTTGATAAAAATGTTAAATGTAAACTATCTTTTAAATGACTGTTAAAACACCCCCTCCCAGCCATTCAAGTAAAATGTGCAAGACTGTCCTAAACAAAAATTTGCAGCTTAATTTCTACGATACAATAGGTTCATTGATATCGAGATCTGAGCGAAGGAAATATTCTTTGGCATTTTTAAATGCCCGTTTTTCAGACGATTAGGTCGAATTTTCTCTAACTTAGAGCAGTGTAGCCACCCTTGGACTTCCGGTACAAGGACTGTCCTTAATGCATATGATACCTAAGACCCTGTTGAGGCGTAATGTAGTGAAGTTTTGCATCAGCAACTCTCCATCACATTTACAGTGAAATTTTCCAGCTAGAGCACTGGAAATGCGTACATAAGCCATTTTCAAGTAGCCTTAGCATCGTTGCGGGAAACGAAAGGAGAGTTTATTTTTTGAAATTTTACTGCATTACTTATGATGAACAGTAAAAAACCCTTTAAACTCCATAATATTGCCAAATGTTTTGTTAATCATGTAATCTTTGATTTCTGTTAAGCAGACTCAAACTTGACTTCCGGTTATGGTTTGGAAATCGTTCAACCGTTAAATTACCGATGTTTACCAAATTGAAGATATTCATAAGTTTAAGTTACAAAATTCTTTACTTTACATAATAATTTCCTCCATAAGTAGGGTGTTGCGTTTCTTTTGCGTGTCAGTAATAAAGTACATTTACAGATCAATGATTCAGATACCCCGGCCTTCTTCCAGAAAACTTTTAATTACACATGAATTAATTATTAATGATCGGTGAAACAAAATATGGTATGCCTTACATGATTTATAAAATGAAAGTTATAATGTCTTTCTTACTGATTATCCATGCATTTGTTTTGAGACATTTAAATTTTTGAGACATGTACAGTGTATAGTCATAGTCACATAATGATATGGTACATGAAGAAGCGAAAAAAACCCACTTCGACCAGGGATGGAGTAATCAATTTTTACTACGAGGCAGGCTGTCCGATAACCATATGCCGCATAAGTTGAAGTTACAGGGCTATCGACAGCCTCGTTTAAAGTCAGCTTTTCGTAAATTCCATGGGCGTTGTAATTATAATGACCTTGTTAGGAAATACAATCTATCATTGATTTTGGCTGACTTGTTTCATGTATACACCAATTGTAAGACCTTTGTTTTTACATTGAATTTGAACGGATTGTTCCGACTAGTATAAGTTTATTCAGGATATAAACTTTGCGCAATACAGCCCATCAGTTTACAAAATGACAAATATGACATACAACATATAATACAATCTACCTATAGGGCTGATGACCGGTGTAACCGATCAACAGGTGATGCTTAATTCCTCCTATATAGGCACTCGAACCAACCCCAGGGATTTTCGAGGGTCCGTTGAAGACGACCTCACACTTATTTCCAGCAAAAAAAAAAAAAAAAGTGACATTCAAGAAAAGACATAAAGAGATAATTATGATGACATAGGCAACGTACCTTACCTACTGATAGTTTTTCAAGATATTCCTAAATTAACATATTATAGTGTTATCAGATGTCCATGGACAAAAAATCAGCATTACCAGGGTTTTTTGAAAGATATCAATTGATGAAAATTCTTGGATCATTCAAAGAAAATATAAATACTAAATATATATATTCTAGATGTTTCTTTTATCAAAAATTGTTTTAGAAGAAGTGTACAACACCATTATGGTGGCATGTTTTCTGCCCCCTACATGCAAGATAAATTATGTTAACCATGTTAAAAATTAACATGCAACATATGTAGACATGCAACATATTTATGTAAACGTGCAATTAAGTTAATTACTAGTATGTTGACATTTATTTTTGTTAGAGATCAAACACTCGTTATTTTCAATTTTTCATCTATATAGATCATATGGATATAGACATGCATGTATATATTATACACGTATAAATCTCAAATTTGGCCCTTTGGCTGATTTTGGTGTTTCGACTCCTGACTGATAGTCATACAGCATGTGAGTTCATTTATCAAAGATAATTATCATAATGACAAAATAATAGATATAAAAGGTACATTTTCACACACGTGTGTGTGTGGGGGGGGGGGGGGTACAATACTATAGAATAGAATAGAATAGAATAGAATAGAATTTATTACCAATCAGGGCCCATTAGGCATAAACATATAACATATATAATTACATATAAACATAATATTAAAGTAATAGACAGAATACAACATGTGGTGAAGAGCAATTCTTCTATTAAGTATATATATATATATACTGATATATATGTTGGTGGCAATTTAAGTTTCATATACCGACATACATGATGGTTTGTTGTACAAAAAAATGCGCATAAGTATTATTCATGATATACATATATATGTAAATATATACGTATCAAAATGCATAAAACTATGTTTGAAACATCAACAGGAGGCAGCAAGAGTCTTTGCTAAAGGATATACAGAATTCCACTTCTGCCTCATGTAGAATAAACAGACATAAAATTTATGGAGATAAACATATATTATATAAATAAATTATACATTGACACATGTGTTAATTAAACTAAACTACAATGAACAGCAAGAGTCAGTGCTGAAGGATAGTATATTGTTATTATACATGTATTAAAGTTATCCACTTCTGTTCAATGTAGAGTATATAATACAACACAAATATCAACAACACCTTTACATAGTGTAGCATAATTATCCAACTAAGGTACTTCAAATGATTTTGAATTTGTCGAACTATACATGACTTATGAATTCACACAATTTGAACAGCACATCAACATCTTCACAGTTCATTAACCATAAAAACTGGTTATTTTTTGACAAGCTATTAAAAAGATATCATGGATAGTAAATTTATTCTTGATTGACTATGGCATGGACAACTTAAAAGAAAATGTACTTCATCTTCTATCTGACTACAATTATTAAATCCAATTTGTACATGAATTTAAAAAAAAAATGTCATATTAGGGTGCAATGCAGTGTTTTGGAACATGAAGAGAATGGACATATTGCAATCATACTGCCACTAGAAGTGGGTGCGTCTCTTCTGATGTTTTTCTGACCAATCAGAATGAGTCAGGTGAGGTCCTTTGATCATACCAGGATCTAGCTGCTGTGAGGAAGTATTTGTGTATATTTGTTTTCGTTTTCTCTTTTTTTGAAAAAAATATTTCATATATACAAAGTCGAATGAATCTTTCAGTATAACAATTCTTGGGGGAAGTACTTTATTTGGACGCTAAAGGTCAAAGTGAAAGTAGAAGTTTTATATCTTACACCGGAAGTAATTGTCACGTTGGATGTTTTGGTAAACACTACAACAGAGAAAATTATGGACGCCGCAGTAGATGGAATTCCTCCAGTTATGTGGGAACCGGATCGAACTATGTCGACTAAAATGGATGAACTAAGGACAAGAATCAATGAAAAATATAGTGTAAATCTAGGTAAGTTGAATTAGTATACAAGTTCCTCGAATTTCCTCTGTCAAATATCGGTGTCATCATGGTCATCATGTCATGGGACAAAACAACGCTTATACAGTAGCAGCTCTTATAAAGTTTGAAGTAGAGGCAAAATAATTTCCTGTGAAAGCATTTATATTTATCTTTTATTGAAAACTAATGTCTTGATTGTTAATAAAATAAAATATATTTATTGTTGCCTGCTCTAAGTTTATAGTTATTACATTGTCTTTTTTTTTTTGCTATATCTGCATCCTTGCTAGCCAAGGGTTTTCGGATCAGAAACCTTATGCTTTGTAAGCCTTAAGAACAATAAAGAGTTTCACAACAGGTCCTGTCTATATAATTACCTGAATATACTGATGTTAACAGAGATTTTAAAGAGAGAGTTATCAATATTTACAGAGACTTATAGAGAATTCCACAAGTGGTCGTGTGAGAATTATGACCAGTTTTGGGAGGAAGTCTGGCAGTTTACTGAAGTCATCCATTCTCAGTCCTATACAGAGGTACAACATACATGTAGTATACTGACAGAATAACAGAGCATCAATTTGAAATCAGAGGCCTGTTCAACAGAGGGAGCGCTCGCAAACATTTCTTTTGGATGTTTTGGAATTTTGGCTAGTGCTCACGAACATTCGCTCAGTTGAACAGGCCTCTGATATTAAACGTGTTAAAACTACAGCTTCTCTATCCTATCTTTAGAGACTAGAGAGTTTATTTTTGCATTTGTTATATTCTTGAAATGATGGTTTATCTTAAGAAAAAATTTTGTCAGCTATAGCTTATCTAGAGTGTAATAAAACTTTTTAAAAATTGTCAAAATATCAAAGATTTGTTAAATGATGTTGAAGTACAAAAATTTTGGTGCTTCTTAACATTTGATTCATCTTATTTGAGATGAACAGGTCAACTGAAACTTTATAGGTGTTTCATTGTTCGATGCAGCTTCTTGAATTTTTCCTGTTAGAATTTGTTTTCGTCTTAATTGTCAGTTGTTACAATCTTGATTTTCAGGTGATTGATAAATCGAAGAATATTGCAGAGATTCCTACCTGGTTTAGAGGGAGCCGACTTAATTTTGCGGAAAATCTGCTACGTTACAATGATGATCGTGTAGCAGTTTATGCTACAGGTTATTGCTATTATTTGAGAACATATAGCCCTTTCCATTTTCAAAGACATTCTGTATAACCCCAAGCATCAAGCATCTTTGCAAACAATGGTCAAAATATACAATAATTTCCCATTCTTGCTTTGATTGAAGGAGAGAAGAATAATTCATAGTTCATTAAAAATTTGACCAATGCAAGTAAAGCATTGTCAGAAAATGAATTTTGATGCAGCCTTTCAATACCCACTGGTAGTAAACACATCATTTTTTGTTTATTATGGATATCAATAGCAGGTTTCAGTCGCAATGAAAACAGTTATTTTCGTTGGCTTAAGATGACAGCACAGCACAGCACTTTTTGTGAACAAGTAATCAAAGGAAACGTGAGAGGGAGAAAATTGCATGCAGTTTCAGACTTAAAAAAAACAGACATAAAGTTTTCACTTTAATTTAGACAAATAAATATTCATTCAAGTTGAAAGACGTGTCTTACACTTAATCAAACAACTTTGAACTTTAGTAAATATTATAAATAGTCGGGTAATATTATGAATATCATAAATATGATATAGCTTATTTTATGCATTATGAAATCGTCCAAGTTCTATAACTCTTCCCTATTTATTAGGTGAAGGTCTTGGGATCAAAGGAATTCAGAAGAAAACCTTCAAAGAACTCCGATCCTCTGTGGCAAGATACGCAGCAGCCATGAGGAAAATGGGGGTCCAATCAGGAGACAGAGTCGTAGGTAAATTTAGTTCCTTTTTTTCATTTAGAAGCTTAATAAACAATGTTACTGTGAAATCCTAAATTTTCTTTACGGGGGTACTTTCTTTGTTTTGATGTTTCAAAGAGGCCCACTAATTCATGTCCTACATCATGTACATGAAATGTTAAATTTCAAATATATATCATCCAAAAACAAATTAAATATTAAACAGATTGTTATCTATTGATCTAGTTATGCCTAGGTCACATTTAGCTGATGGTCGGGCAACTAAATTTTTCTGGTCTTGTCGGCTGAAAGAACAGGATCGGCCGACACAGTATCGGGCGACACGGAGCAGTCACATTATTTCCTAGAGACATCGATGACTTGGATAAATAACACAAAAAATCTTTTTTTTTTTTAGAAATCAGCAATATTTTTTCATAGATCTATATTCAGATAGGTGACGTGAGTAATGTTTGCAAGGCAAAGTGGCAGAATTTTATAAAATTTTGACTCAGTGTTGAAAATGTGTGCAAAATTTGTATGGAATTGCATAAAAACGACAAATGGTGCATATCTAAGCAGCAAATAATACTTAAGATTTCTTTATATCTTACGGATTAATAATTTATGTTATTTCCGTTCAAATAATTTATATCAATCCATGCATCAAAATTTTGTTTGTGTTATGTGTACTGAATAGGTTAAATATTCACAAGTCGGCCAATCGTCTTCCGATCATCGAGCTCTGAGCTACAGTTTGATTTTAACTGTTGGCTGAAATTTTCAACACTCTTATTGTCCAACGATGGACGACCAAGTTAATAAACTGACCATCAATGGTCGGACGATGATAGAAGGTTGGTTGACAGATAACTGCAGTTGAAGAAATCGGCCACCAATGCATGAAAAATTATAACTTGGACCGATGGACACTAAATTGGTGGGCCGACAAAAAAATAGGTCAAAATCGGCCAAGACAACGGCCGATGAATTGATGACTGTCACCCGAAGAATCCCATTTTTGTTTCAAAACCCATCGTCCGTTGGTCGTTTTTGGAAATGTGACTGGGGTTTTACTGATAGTGTAAAAACCATTTCATGCTCTTCCAATATAACCTCCATATCTGTGTTATTTATGTAGGGTACATCCCAAACTGTACAGTGGCTCTGGAGGCCATGTTAGCTGCAGCTTCTATAGGAGCCGTGTGGAGCTCTACCTCTCCAGACTTTGGGGTACAGGTATGTCAGGGTCTCCAGATCATCTTCTTAAAAATATATACGAGGGTCATTCAAAAAGTTCGTAGACTTTTGTCATAACTTTTTTATTTAACGTCATATTTAAACCAAAATTGGAACATATATTTTAACAACAGATTCAAATATTTTGAGCAAAGAAATTGGAATATATCAAAATTGTCAAAATTATCAAAGATTTAAGACAGCAAAAATGGGGTTACGGAGCAGGGTCAATATTGAGTTATGGACTGATTATTCGCTTTTCATATCTATAGCCATACCTCTTTAAAATTGTCCTTAAATGAAATAAAATTTACATACTTAAATTTACTATTGTTTCATTTCTTCAAAAGCAAAAAGTTAATGTAATACACTGCTTTGTGTAAAAGATATCCATTTCTATAGACAGATAGTCTTGATTTAAAAAAGCAAAAAATCATGACGTTGAAGGACGTCACGGAGCAGCGAGAAGCAATATAATTTTGTTTTGCATTTGGAAACTTTTAAAACAAACTCCGAAAATGCTGGAGAGACCAGGAAAAATACATAAAATGAGCCGTGTATTTGTTTATAATGGAACAGACAATTTTTGAGGGGTAAAGACTTTAAATTGGGCGATGGGCGTTCTGCAAAAAACAGATTATAGTTCAAAATCTTTTCAAAAGAGTTAGTAACGTCATGAAACGTGATGTGCATTTCACTGTTGCGGAACCTGTAAGAGCAGAGTTACATGGTAAAGGATTTGAAAACATTTACAATCTTATTTAAATTATACTCAAAATATTGATAGCATACTAGGTTTCAAGTGTTGTGGAAACGTTTTAATGAATGAGGAATACGACACAAACCATGTATAAAATGAAAAGGCACTGTGAGTTTGAGAAATGTTCTTTAACGTTGTTTTTGACGTTACATTGTTTTTGACCGTGCTCTGTGGCGACAAAACATGTTGCATTTTAAATTGTCTAGTATGAGTTCCGTTTAATCAAATAGAATGAAACTACAGAAATCTATAAAAATATCTTTTTACATTTAAAAATGTACTGATATTAAGATTTGTAAAAATAATGTGATGATAAGGAACATTGTCTACGTATTTTTTGAATGACCCTCGTATTTAGGGCATGTGAACCATTCAGTTTTTCAATCAATCAGCAAAATATTTTTTTTGTATCTGTGTGCCTGAGAAAGCAACTGATATTTTACGAGGGGCTACCAAAAACTTCATGGATTAGCGCCATAAAATTAAAACCGCTTTAGGTACATCGATGAATTATAAAATATCTGGTTAGCATCATCTTTTCTATCTATAGTATAAACCACGATTCATTATTTTTATTTTTTAATAAATAAGTAATGTTTGTATAAACCACGATTCATTATTTTTATTTTTTAATAAATAAGTAATGTTTTTGTAAGCAAAGGTATGTCCAGGCGGCGCAACCTCAAAAACGAGGTTTTTTTTACCTAAGTGTAACTGAGAAAGAATATTTTGATATAAACATTTCACATCTAAAAATCCCGTTAATTCAGGTATGTGTTGGGACAATATTGCTCCATTAAATTTGGAATTTTTTCCTCATTCTGGAAGTTCTATGAAATTAAATTGTAAATTTTACATGGAGTATCCAAACAAATATTGCTTTGAAAATGACGTCAAAAAGGGAGAGGGTTTCTTTTTCCAACATTCTACAAAGTTGTGCCCCTGAAAAAAACTGGTATAGACATAGGGAATGTTAAAACTGGCTACGGAGAAATATTCATTCACAGTACTTCTTTTGAATGCCAAAATAGATTCAGAGAGAAAAGGGATGTACAGTTAATTTCGATTTGTAGTCAAGGTGTGAAAAATCAATCACGTCAAAAACTGACGTTGATGAATTGTTGTAGTTACATGTATTGAACTACAAAAAGCAAACTATGCTTGCACAATGAAGCGAGGATCTCTCTCAATGTATAAATCCATTTGCAATATTATATGCATGGAAAGCCGCTGTTGGAGACATTGTAAAGTCATATAAAAAAGACAGGTTGAAGTCCTTTTTTAGCTCCAGGGTATCTCATCAACATAAGTGTATGAGGTAGAAGAAGAAAACTTTGAAAAACAATGATGTTGTAGGATGTCATAAAACTAAACGGCGACAGTGCCGGGTGATCATATAATGTAGAATTTATTTTATAATAATTTGAAAAATAATGAACGTATCAGGCTAAAATTTTCAACATTTCTTTATTTTTTGTTGTTTTATATTCCAATTTTGTAAGCTCAGACTACATAGTACTAATTTTATAGCCTCAGTCCACAAACATTTTGATAACCCCTTGTATATTAACATGAGAAATCCTTTTAATCCATTTTGTTTTGATTTTGGTAGGGTGTTTTAGACAGATTCTCACAAATAAAGCCAAAGTTGATCTTCAGTATTAATGCTGTATGGTACAATGGAAAAGTTCACTCCCATCTGGAGAAATTGGAGCAAGTTGTCAGAGGTACTGTGTAACAACCTATTTCTGAATGAATCCATGGGTGAGTATCTATGGTGACATGAATACAAAGTAAGAATGATCTGTATGTTTTTAATTTCTTCATCTTTGCTGATGAAATCAGTAAAAAGGAAAAAATTGTAATGGATGTTGCCAAAATCATTTGAAACTTTGAAGAGTTACTTCCCTTATATTGTTACCATTGTATATTGAGGGAAACGGTTATGCAAATATGATACAGTTGTATTTCAGTCCAGTAGGGCTGGGCAATAATATCGATATTTCAATATATTGCAATACAATGACAAAAAATATCGTATCGCAGTACGATTTTGAAATATCGATATATTGGCAATATGCTTAGATTAAGGAATTTTGTCATTAGATATAGAAATGGACTAATTAAAGTTCGTTATTAAGCCAAACATTTGTTTTGTGGGAAAATTTCAGAACATAACTCAAATGAAATCAACAAGATTTTTTCCCTGTGTTAGTTACTTATCATAGTTATGAACATTCTGCATGTAAATTAATGTAAATACAGTAAGAAAATGCCATTTTTATTACGTTGAAAATATTGCAATACATATCGCAATACAGTTAAAAATATCGCAATATATCGCAATACAAAATCTCGGGTCAATACCCAGCCCTACAGTCCAGTTTAAGGTGTTTCACCCCTTTTGCAGGGTTACCTGACCTTGAGAAAGTTGTTGTTTTGAGGTTCGTTCCTGATGCACCTTGTGATATTTCTGCTATTCCTAACAGGTGAGAAAAGTCAGGGTCATTGTATATGTAAGGTGAAGTATTTTTATCCCAACTTTTTGAAAAAAAATATCATTACATGTACTTTTAGATTTTGACATTAACATGTAAAAAAATGTTTTGTTTTCGATCAACTGTCTTTTAGAGGAATTTATCTCATCAACTGACCCAGATGTTTTGTTTTTGACCCAGATGTTTTGTTTTCAGCTGCCTCTTGGAGGAATTTGTCTCGTCAGTTGACCCAGATGTTGAGCTGTATTTTGAACAAGTCCCCTTCAACCATCCGCTATTTATCATGTACTCCTCGGGGACCACCGGAGACCCTAAGTGTATGGTCCACTCCGTGGGGGTAAGGTGATAGCAAATCATAAAATACATTGTGCTTGGTACTTGTTACTGTGAGCTGGAATCTGAGAAATACTGATCAACTTGATTCCAGGACTCAACATTTACACTTGTTTGGATTGTCTGTCTTACAGTTCATTTTTGTGATCAATCTCAAGTTTGATGGGATAAATTACATTTTTATTCTATTCTTAAATAGTGTGAATTTGGGAGATTAGGAAATGTTTTGCCTTTTTTTCTTAGTATCTTTACTTGCCATGGGGTATAGTCTTCTCTCCCTCTAGAGGATGTTTAAGAGAAATGAAGTCTTAGAATAAGTAGTGGTTAATTTATCGACTTTATTTACTCACAGGGAACCTTGCTGAAGCATCTTGAGGAACATGTCATACAAAGCAACATGGGAAGGGAGGACATTTTCTTTTATTACACTACAGTAAGTGTTTTATTTTATAATCACATTACAAAGAATTAAATGCATTCAAAATACATGTACCTTTGTTTGAAATATTTTTCTCTCTAGATTTTCGGTCCTGTAAACGTACATAAACAAGCATACTCAAAATTAAGTACATTTGTCAACATGAAGCAGCACAAGGGTTGGTGCTTAAATTTAGTTACCAATGGAACTAGGTTACCTCTGAAATAAGATATTAAAGTATTTTAAAAGTTCTCTACACTATTCTTTTACATGTATAAAATTTCAGACAAACCTCAAGTATTGAATATCTTGTTTGAAGTTAAATTTATAGGAAATACTAAAAGTGGAAGTATTTTTATGCACACAATCCCTCGAAAATGGTTTACCATGTACTCAATAAAAGTATGTACCATGCTTGATAGATTTATAGAAAATATATCAAATGAAAATGATTTTATGCAGGAAAGTCTAGTATTGATTCAATGTGTACTTGGCTAAATTCAATGCATTCATATAAGTCAATATTGAAGATCTTTTACTGTTTACTCATATATGTGGTAGATCCACTGAATTCATGCAGATAAGTTTAACACTGAGAATGAATCACTATATACTTATATATACCGTATAAGCAGAATTTTTAGCGAAGATTTAATTTTGGCATTATTAACAAGAGTGTTGAGATCACTAAAATTAAATACTGTAAAACGAGAATATTTGGCGCACAACTAATTTTAGCGCCTTTGGCGCAAGAGCCCCTGAGCGCTAAAATTTATTGTGCGCTAAAGGATTTCTAAATATCTTTTTTGTGTGTGTTCAAAGTTTTTACATAAGTACATGTAAACCGGAACGAGCGATTACGTAATGTCGAAGGGTCATTGGAGTGCTAGTACTGCACATGTTCGGAGGACAGAAAGTTCTGTTCTGCCAAATTATAATTTAATTAAACTATTGTTACCCCGGTAGTTGTTAACCTATTATTATCATTAGCACCTTCAAAGTTTAGCTTCTCGGCGTGTCAATCATCTATCGCGTTGAGGTAAACAATGCAATCAGCATGGCGCTTGAGCTTGCAGACAATACCTGATTAGGATTACCGTTTTATCTAAGTAATTTTCTGTCAATGCATGCATTGTTTTAACATGATTTAAATGAGTAAAGACTCTTTTAATTGAAAATAGAAATAAAATAAATTTTAACAATGTACCACGTCCATGTGATAGCAACACATACCGCGGTAAAGTTAACGAACGTTTACTGATATACGGGAGTACTAATGCGTTTCCGTGTTTGACTAATAACCAAAAAGTCAAATACGGGTGTGGATAAAAAAAACCCCCAAAATATCACATTTATATATATTTTACTGAAAAGTGCAAGCGCTAAAATTTATTTGCGCCAATGCATTCCCACTTGCGTTTGCGCTAAAATACGTTTGCGCCAATTTTTCTCGTTTTACAGTATCTCTAAAAATTAATTGCATTTTATCTGTAATAGCTTCTATAGTGAGCATTTAAAAATCACTAAAATTACATCTCCCTAAGATTAAAGTACCAATTTTTATGGACAAATCCCTCATGCTAAAATTTCCACTTACACAGCATGTACCGGGTAGTAGGTTGACTGATTTCAATTCTAACATTCAGAATGATTTTCTGTGTTCTCGGCTGAATGCAGATCATTTTAACATTGAGAATTTTTTAATGTGTACTTGTATACTTTCTAGGTGGGTTGGATGATGTGGAATTGGTTAGTCTCGGGTCTGGCTGTGGGGGCTGCCATTGTTCTCTATGATGGCTCCCCTCTGGTGCCCCACGCAAATCACCTCTGGGATCTGGTAGATGAGTTAGGGTACATTTTTTAAAACTTAATTTCATTAAACACACTTATTTCTTTGGCACTTTTTTTTCTTCACAATTAATTGCTAGGTAATAAAAATGACAGTTTACTACCTTAGTTGTAAATATGGTCAAGAATTCAAGTTTCAATCATTTTGGTGTATTTCTATTTTCATGACTTTTTTTGGATAGTGAAAATATTTAGGGAATTCTTATGTATTGATTATTTTCCCCCCTCCTGCTGTAGGATCACTTTGTTTGGAACCAGTGCTAAATGGTTGGCTGTAATGGAAGACAGGGGACTTAAGCCAGGTAAGAGTTGTAATTCCTGCAGCACTCAAAGCACAGGCTGATAGATTCAATCATTCACTGATATTACTACCAGTATTCTGCATTCCATATTCAAAGTTGATGAGGAAAGGGGCATACACTGTATATTTTATAAATATATTTTTATACCATATCAATTCACTTTATTTCAAATTAAAATATGAAATATTCTGGTGTATTAATTTATTATTTTATTAATATAACAGGGACCACACACAAACTGAAGACTCTGAAGATGATCATGTCTACAGGATCCCCTCTCAAACCTCAGAGTTATGATTATGTCTACAAGGAGATTAAAAAGGACCTTCTTCTTGCCTCTATATCAGGTATGTAACACCCCTTCCCCAATTCTCAAAGTTATGATTATGTACAAGATTAAAAGAGGACCTTCTAATATCAGGCATGTAACCTCTCACCCAGCATCAAAGTTGCCATCATGTGTACAAGGAGATTTTTTAAAAAAAAGCCCTACTCCCTCTGGTTTCCATGTCAGGTGTGTACATGCCATGACTGATTCACTGTATTCCCTGGATTCAATTTTCAGGAGCTACATGCAGTTTGATTTTAAATCAAAATCAGGTTCTGTTAAATCACTTGTATGAAGAAGATCAAATTGTCTTGGTTTGAGGGAAAAATATTGGTTTGTAAGGATATTATTTCTTGGTTGATAAAGTAATGAGGTACAAATATGATATTGAAACAATAACTACATTTTTTTGGTGAGTTTTGAATTTGTGGGTCTCTCCACACCATAGAAAAAACCAAATATTATAAATTTCTCCCCCAAAATAGTGATTCACTGCCAATTTTAACAAAAACAGTCATTTTATTCAGTTATATTTATTTATTTGTCATCTGTAGGTGGGACAGACATCATTGCCTGTTTTATGGGTCAGAATTGGACAGTCCCGGTACACAGAGGGGAGGTCCAGGGTTTTACACTGGGATGTGACATGCAGAGCTGGAACGAGGAAGGTAAAGAAATAGGTTGTTCTGCTGTATCCACAATTAACAAAGATGTCTTTTATTATTATAAGTAATTTCATATTCTAAGAAAGCTGTCTCTCATATTTTTAAAAATTGTTATTCATACAGCAGTATCAAAACTGTACTCCAGTAGTGTGTCATCATTTAAATGTTTGCTTTTATTGACTGAGAGGTACAGTAATTGTAAACATCCTGATGAAGTAGTCTTGTACATCTATTTTATTGTGTCAGGTAAACCAGTGTATGGGGAGCCGGGGGAGCTGGTCTGTTTGAAGCCCTTCCCCTCCATGCCTGTCTACTTCTGGAACGACCCTCAGGGAGAAAAGTACACTAACGCCTATTTCTCCATGTACCCAGGTGAATTTTTGTTGTACACACTGGGGGGGGGGTACTTGAACATGTAGGTTGGAAGACTCGTATATGGTGGATTGAGAAGATATTAATATTCTGTGAATCACATTTATTTGTGATAACCTAATTATCCTTTCACAATATAGGTGTGTAAAGTAATTTTGATTAGTTGTAACCTGGACTTGTTGTAGGTGTGTGGGCTCATGGTGACTACTGCTGTATTAATCCAAAGACAGGAGGAATAGTCATGCTGGGAAGAAGGTAAAAACAATCAAAAGAAACAATTCTGAATTTAGATTAGTTTTCATAGCTGTTTTGATCATTTAAATGTTTTTAGTATTCTGAGGAAGGAGCGTTTTGTGTCATTTGCTTAGTTTAATTTCTCAATTGAAAAACTTTGATCTTTTATCTTTCAGCGATGGGGTACTAAATCCTAATGGAGTTAGATTTGGAAGTGCAGAAATCTATAACGTTGGTAAGAATTCGAAGATAATATTTTTAATGATATTTATTCGTTAAAAAAGCCATCACTTTACATCAGTTCTAAAAACTTCTGAGTTACCCCCCCCCCCACTAAAACACTTTTGAGTCACCCCACCCCCATAAAAAATTCATTATGAGTATGTGTTTCACTTACAAAGTGTAGTGTGCACACTGACATAAAAAAACTGCATATTTCAGTGGAGTCCTACAAGGAGATTCAGGACAGTGTTTGTGTCGCCCAGAGAAAGGCGGATAACTCTGAAGAGAGAGTTGTTTTATTCCTGAAGATGGCATCAGGAGCAGATTTCACCCAGGAAATAGTTAAGAGCATCAAGGTCAACATTCGTCGTCTCCTGTCAGCTCGACACGTACCAGAGGTCATTCTACCTATTCAGGACATTCCAGTAAGTAGACACACTCCCTTGTAAAAATAATTTGTCATTCCAGCAGCTCAAGATTTATCAGTAAAATGACAGAAAATCAGTCTGAGAGGAGTCTTTTTGGATTTCATGTTTCCTTTTTCATCTCATATTGAATTTCCTCTCATCAATGTGACTTCAATATGTAAGTTGGTAGATAGTAGACTTATGAGGAAGCACTGTTTTTTCTAGCTGTCTTGATGTACTTTAGTAGAACTTTAAGAATGAATTTGAAAGTAAAATGAAAAGATTAAAATTTTACTGCAGATTCTCTTTTGATATTTCAGTAAGTAGATTGACTTTGTTTATTTTTTACTTCTTTACTCAAGTATTAAAATTCTATATTTAATCTGATGCGGTTTATTTTACAGTACACAATCAGTGGAAAGAAGGTGGAGGTAGCAGTCAGAAGAGCCATTCATGGACAAGAAGTGGTCCAGCGGGGGGCATTAGCCAATCCTTCAAGCATTGATCACTTCTACAACATTTCAGAACTGAAAAAATACTGATATGTATATGCTTCATGAGCAAAACATAATCCTGTGATGGAACTTTTAAAGTACATGTATTATTATGATATGTAACTTGTTCAGTGGGATTCAATTTTATTTTAAATGACTGTATTTATTGGATTCAGAAATTACTATAATGGTCTTCTTATACATGTACCAGTATTTTAAGGTGTGATAATTAAGGGTAAGTTCAGAATCTGTTTTTGTAGTTGTTACTGCAGAGAAATACTCTCGTTATAGTTGTGTTATTATTCTTTTGTTTTGTGTTTAAGAGCATACATATCAGTTATTGAATCTCAGATCATCAATATTTCTGCTCCACTTCCTCTAGAGATATCCAATTCCTGTGTACCACAAGACATAATTCTCAGTCACAGTTACATACATACTGTATGTGTTTATTTATAGATTGTTAAAGTTAGAATAATTTTTTCCCCCTTTGTATATTGCGATATTATCACATGGTGTATCTTTTATCAGTATAATTGAATGACATTTGGTTTAAAACCATAAAAAATTATTTATTTGGTTAATATTTTACATTCAATGTACTATAAGGGATTAGTAAATATAAAGCGTTTAGCTACATATATTAAAAGCATTTTGTTTTCATTTCAATTATGCAGAAATTAAAAGAACATAAATTAAAAATTAGATTTTTAGCTCACCTGAGCTAAAGAGCTGAAAGCTAAAATGAGGTTTACTGGTCATGTATGGTGCACCTCCATCCTCTGTACACTTTGAACATTTTTAAATTCTGGAGAATGGATGATCAAATCTTCAACAAAATTATGATAATATTCTGTTGGATAAAAGGAATTTAAGTTTGTTCAAATGAATGACCAACATCTCTTTCATTGTTAGATAATTTTAAAAGAAGAAGTAAGAACTCTGAAGGGCATCTTTTAAAAATCTTCCTCTCAAGAAGAGCAAAGCCATGATTATGCTTTATCAGGTAATGTACATTTGATTTTGTTCAAAATATGACCTATGGGGTAGGATTGGGTCACTATGAGCATATACATGTATATACATTAATAAATGGAAGGCAAGCATCCCCAGAGAGTGGTTATTCGACTGTCTCTTAATTTAATTATGACCACATGAGTAGGGTGGTACCACACTGGGCCATCAGAATTTTTTACTTTGAAATATATAGGTAAAAATCTCAAAAACAACAAATTCATAATTAGTTATACAGTGTATTTAAATGGAAGCATCCTTACATGTTTGATTTATCCCCTCTTGGTTATAGGGTGGGATCACACTCTGTGATCAAAGTCTTACTTAAGAATATATAGGGGACAAGTCTGCTGATATTGAACAGCAGGGCAATAATAATTTGGGTGAGCAATATGGTCCTGGGGCCTCTTTTGCATTAAACTTTAACAAAAGACTTGCTTCGATTTCAGTAAAATTTGGAATACTACACCAGAATACCAAGATACATGATACCCTATTGTTTTTTTTTTAATTTCATCAAATAATAAAGTTGCTAGGTATATTCAAAATAGAATAGTGTATATAAAATTTTGATGACACAGCTCTCCTCCTTACTTAGTTGAGGATGTCTAATACTAACATATTCTTTTCATCAAAATTTTCTAGATCCCTGTTTATAATTAAATTGGGGTGCCTCTGAGAATAAAGAAGCAATATCTGCTTAGTTAAACCATTATCCTTGACAAAACTATATTGAATTAAAATGGAAAACAAAAACTGATTGATAATTTTATGGTTTTGGAAAAAAACGAAACCATTTTGGTCATACAAAAAAAAAAAAAAAATTAAACAGAGAGGAGTTTGTATTTCATATGTCTTAAATATCATACACTATGTACTATGAAAGTATTATAAAAAGGCTCAGTGGATACGGTTCAAAGCAATAGCTAGTTTATCTAACACTGAACATGATTGGTCTTTAACGAAAGATTTCTGAGTAATAACATGCGTAAACTATGAAGACTTAAAACTTTTCATTCAATTACTTGAAATATTGTTGAGGAAATTTTTATTATTAAACCCTGCAAGACAATAAATGTGCAACGTGAAATGTGCATTACTCTGAAGAACAAGGAAAGGTGAAATTTTAAAATTTTCCTCAAGATTATTTATCATTGATCTTTTAACTTAATTATCTTGGATTTTGAAATAAGAATGCGATCTTTCAGAAGAAATAATCGACCCACAGTCGACTAATATTATGTTTAAATGAAGTATATTTAAAATCATTTCTGGATATCTTTGAGGAGTTTAACTCTAACTACAGAACTGTAGCGTTAGGGATTTCTATATTTTAATCTTTGACCATAACGCTACAGATCCCGTAATGTATATAAAATGCAATATACAGTTCTGCAGCCATTTGAAGTCTTGTTGAGACCAACACTTGCCAGTGGAGCAAACTAGGATTTGTCTTCGACACTTTTAATGTGATCTTTGAGCAGTGAGGGATCTTTTTTTCGTACCAGGACCTACTGCTACACGGGTCTGGTTTTATACGACATCATGAAATGTAATGAGATAATGAACAGTATTCAAGCTGAAAAGTCCATTAATACAAATTTGGAGCAGAGCAAACACGGACCTCTAAAACATCAGAGGTTGGATCAGTTGCCATGGAGATGTGAGCATCTACCGACTGGTCACACCCACTGTGTGCTCCTTTTCATGATCGGGAAATAACGGGAATTAAAATTTGGTCGACAATTCAATGTGTAAATTATTGATGGCCCAACAATTAGTTTGAAAAACGCCAGTAAGCATTTGAATTAATAATAGATTGTATTTGCTGATAAGATCATTTTATCGATCACTGGACTCTTTCAACGAGACAGCTGATATTCTTGTATCGTCAACTTATTTGTCAACAAATTATCTCGCTTTAGAAACTTCATATGTACAGTATGCTCCTCTGTGTCGAATCCACCAAGAGATATATAAACCCCATATGCAGATGATGAAGGTATATTGATGCAGATATAAAGGACGTTGACAATTGAAAAATTAAAGTCGTCATATTTATCTAAAGCTTGGTTGTTAGATTATCATTAACTTTTTTCTAGTAAAATATCCAAGTACGAAACAGATGTGTAAGACTCTGTCGTATCTTTTATTTCAAGCTCACCGGGATACATGTATATCATATCGACATAAGAATGAAAATAAACATTGTTAATTGACAATACATCGTCGATATATCGAATTAATGTTGAGTTGAAGACCACAGCAAGTTTTTTCTTCTTCTCACGTATAAGATTTTGGACAAATTCTGCTTCATATGAATGCATAAATAGGTTTGTTGATGACGGGGCACAATCGGTACTAATGAGAATTTCAATAGATTGTTGGTAGACCTGGTCTTAGTGGTCTCCAAAAAACGCATACATATTGTCAATCAGAAATTCAAGCATCTTTTTGCTATCAGCTTAAAGTACTTATATGTATACAATCAGAATGTCAGTTAACAAAATAATGTTCAAATGACCAGATACAAAATAAGCAAATTTACGAGTTTATTTCTTTTTGCAAACGCAGTTGTCAATGATAATAAAAAACCTGTGGCATTTTCACAAAAAATCTAACGACTTACATATGTATTTTTTTTTTGCTAAAAAATATATTTAATTTAAAAAAAAATCTTTTACTAAGTAGCTTAATGTAATAGAAATATTAGATTTTTGATGTGCTACTACAGTTTAGATAACTGTTGAGAAATGGGAAATTTTTTTTGTCTTAGTCGTAAGATTTTTTGTGAAATGGACCACTGGACTTTAATTTATCGTGGGGAAAAGTCGTTCGTTTTTATGTTGTTTATTTTGATAAAATTTTGTGAATTCATATTTCCCAAAAGTTGATTGAAATTTCTAAGTATCCACATGATCTGATTTACATTACTCCTGAATTTTCCCCTTCACTTCTGTTAAAATCATCTGAAAGAGCGGCATTCGATTCAACATTTAGTTGTACATGAATCGACGAAGTTTTATCATTCAGAAAAAAAAACATTCAATTTAAATAAATCTCTTCGGAGTCGGACACATCTCTTTCATACTCGGTATCAGGGTACTAGTCTTTTACTACATGTAGATAAATATTGATTATGAGAGTATTAGTATTCTTGACACGGGTACCACTTAAGTCCAAGCCGACGGACACAAAATGCAAAAACCACAAAGAAATTGTCTATCAGAAACTCGAACATCCTTTTAATATCAACTTTAGAGTTCTTGTTTGTACAATCAGAATGTTTTTTTAACAATAATTTTTCAAATGACCAAGGACAAGGTATGTAAATTTACGAGTTCCATTTTTATTGAAAAAAGCAGCTGTCGATGATATCAGAAAGCCTGGACTTTAATTTGTCTTGGGGAATGGCTGCAAAGTTGTAAGTTATTTTGCTGTTGATTTAGTGAAGTTTTTTGATTTCAAATTTTCCAAAATTTCCTTGGAATTTTTATGTAATCCACATCGGATTTACACGACTTCTCGAATATATTGTAGAACAGTTCTTTTGGAGTTTCTCCTTCATTCCAGTTAATATCTTAGTGAGGAGTGAATTTTTTTAAGAAAGAGGTTTGGTAGAATATTTACTGGAACTCTATATATCTTTGCTTGTAAGGAATTTAAAAAAGTTTCGGTTTCCAATACAGATGGCAATTCATATTCATTTCGGTTGTTTGGTATATTAAAAAGATTCAAAACTGACATATGATTTAGAAGAATTTCCTCCTTGGAAAGGAAGCTATGAGTGTACGTTGGATTACCACTTGTAGAATTAAATCCAAGTTCCTCTAAAATACAGTCTGTATAATGAGCCTTAGAAAGAAAGACAATGTTGTTACCTGCTTTGTCAGTCGGGACCAGTACGTACTGATCTTGTAATCTAATTCTTTTTTACTTCTGGATTATTGAATACAGAAGTATAGATGGTTTTCATATCACCCCTCAATTGCTTAATGCGCGATTGTATTGCGGATTTATTTTTAGATGGCCGAAGTTCGGAATCTTACGCTCTAAGATCGCGCAGTAGTAAGCTGGTCCTTGTTTTCTTACCAGCTTCAAATCCGCCTTGTGATGCGGGAACTTGTACTTCGCATGTATATTTATGGACGTTCCCTGTCGCAACAGGTGCTCGTCCGAAAAAAAAAAGATCCCTCAATGCCCTAAGACTGTGCTGAGTACAAGTCTGAATATGCAGTTCTCCTCCTGCATGAGATGACATCTCATACCGGAGGAGAGCTGCATACTGTATTTAGACATCCTTGAAGATATGTCAAACAAACAATCATAATTACTAAATACATGTATACCATATGAAAAAAGCTCCTGAATTTCCTTGAAATGAGTTATTCTAGTGCAGGAAATTCGGTGTCAATTTAATATTTAAGTTATTATTATGAGCTGTCCAAGGGTAATAATTAATACCATTTTCCTTATTTATATCGTATAAAGGAGAATCATTAAATATTGGAAATATGCTTTTTTTCCAGTTAAAAAATAGTAATTTACACGATTTCACTGACTTGAACGCAAGCGGAAAAATACAAGGCCTTCTTCCTCATATATGGCTTATGGGGAACATCGGAATAAGTAAAAATGTCATTGTTCATTTCCGTTTAATTATGACATATAGGAGTATATTCAAAGATATTGTCAAGGCATCAGCTGTCTCAATCATATCAATTTATATTTGCCAAATTCCAACACAATTCCTCATTTTATTAACGGGAATTCTCTGAAATCATGTTAAACGAAATCAAGACATTGAAATTGCATACTCAATCATTCACTATAAATGTTTTGATAGAACAAGAGAAAAGAATCTCTTGCCCGCGTGTTGCTGTGGTTGCTCTGCTCTGTAATCACGAATTAAACGTCGTTGGATCGAATCCCACTGCGGGGCCTGGAGACCGGTCTTTTGGATGAGACAACATAAACCAAGGTACCTTAGGCTTGTTGTAGTAGGTGCTTAAATGCCCAATGGCCCTGAGTGCCAAGTATTGGTCTGAATTTGAAGCTTTCCCTGGAGCAAGTTGTCTTCGAATAAGTGAAATTTTCAAAAGAGGGACGTTAAACAACAAACAAACAAATGAGAGATTGTTTAAACCAAGGTCATTTATTGAATACTCAAATTAAGGTTTTTAGTACATGTATAAAATAAAACATAACTAACATGACCAAATGTATGTAATTAGAGTTAAGTTCATAATGTGAAAAAAAACTGGCAATAAAGTCAAGATTCAAATTCAAAAATTTAAAACCAATCTCTAAATAAAAAAACCTTAAAAACATTAAGTACGAATGAAAAATTTAAATTTGAAGTGCATTTTATTAACATGGAATAACCATTTCTATTATTCTTAAACGACTTTTTTTTAATCTGTGAATTTTTGCTTGTGCATATAATGAATGCTTAACTTCTTATTCTTCTATGGCGATTGCAAAAATTAACGTATAATTAATTGCAATGATGATATAAAGGTTGTAGATAAAAAGAACAAAACCCTTGTTTATCATATATTTTTGCATGTTATAGATATGTAAAAACAAATACATCAAATAAAGCCATAAAAAGAACTTGATGCATAAACAAATGTATATTTTTTCTTCAACAAAAGCTCTTATCTAAAACAAAATACTCTCCGTTAGGAGAAGCCTCTGTCATCACAAAAGCCGGTTTTGTTGCCATTAAGTCCTCCTTTTCTTCTGGCTTATTTGGTTCATTGTTTTCTGAGATGCTGACTGTTTTGGCACCTTTTTTACTTTTCACTTTACTGCTGTTTCTTCCTAGAGATGTCTTTTTGTCGTCCTTTAGGATGGACGTTCCCGGAAATTGACCCTTTTTTGTAAATACTGGAAGAGTTGCAGAGCGGGAAGCCGCCATGTGTTCATCTGATTTCTAAAACAACAGGAAAGCGAAAAGTTGGAGAACCTGTTGTTCCTATGTTTAGATACATGTTCATGCAAGCTTATTTTGGCATCAGTGATTTTGCGCAGTTTGGCATCCATTCAATAGAGGGAAAATAATCTCATATATTTTAAAATTTATTTTATGATATTTTCCTTGTTTTTTGAAAAAAAACAACTATCAAAAACATTAATTATATATGTTTCAAGAATATCTTTTAAGTTCTTTATATAATTTCAAATATTTGAACTAACTATGCACCTTTTCTATGTCCACAAAATCCTCGAATTCCTCTGATTTCCTCGCTATTATTTTGTTACCATGAAGACTGGCGATTTTCTGGACCATATCCCCGGACAACCCTGATTGTTGTTTCATTGACTTCTTAAGACTGACAGCGTAGACCTCCTCCTGCCCCGCATTTTCTTCATCTACTGGATGTTCTACAATCTCCACTGCATGCTCTGAATTGATTACAACGTTCGTGTATGGACTGTCTTTTTCACGCAATTCACTTGCACTCTTTCAAATGCAAAAAAAAATATATATATATATATAAGAACAAGAAATATTCAATTTTAATACCAGAAGCAAACTAGAAAAAAAATGAAAATAATTTATTGACATCAAATAATCTTACCGGGTCGAAATGAAAATCTGGCTCGTACGCTGCATTAGAAACTGCTTTTGGTTTACGAAAAAACCTACCAAATCTATCAAAGGAAACCCAAAACGTTATGTATTTGTTAATAAAAGTCAAAAACAGATCATTGTTTATTGTTTTCAGGATATTGACAATACAAATGGGGGTACGAACAGTTTATTCTTGATCCAGTTCCACTTGCCGTGGAGGATAAGAAACGTCAGCAGGATCCCCACAATAAGTCCGGCGAATACAGAACCTGCTGTGCAACCTGTCAAATATGGAAAGGAATAACTATAGTGAGTGGGGAATCAGAGTTGTCTATACTTAAAAAATAGACGGAAGTAAACTGCATAAAATAAAAAGAAATCTATTTGATTTTTTTTACTTTTGAGGTAACTTTGAATAAGTGATAAAATGAAATCGGATTCTTGTGTTCAGGAAACGTATTGTGCTAGTGGTCATATATAGCAGATATCCTCTACAAATCATTAACTTCTTAAGAAAAACTTCTTGTGTTTGGTTCAGTAAAGTAACAATCAGACCAAAAAGTAAACAACAATCATAGAATTATTTAGACAACTTTTACTTCCCTGAAAAGAATGCATTTGTTGGAAACTTGTAAACAATTATTAATAGAAATATTGATAATAGCATCAAAACATCAAACTTACAAGTTTAGAAAATAGTATTAATTTTATATTCTTACAAAAAACTTACCCCTTGATGTGCAGTCACATTTCTCATTAGGCATTGTTGACATTTCACCTGTGGACGATTTGTAAATATGTTATCATGGCTAACAATTTATTTATACAATTATTTTGGTAAATTCAGCTATCAAGAAGGAAGTTGACACTATAGCTTTGTTGAAGTACAATATTACATTAATGAGGAAATATGACCAACATATTAGGGAAACGCGTACACGAAATGATGAGTTTCAGGCAGATATGCACATTTGTACTTAATTTATATCAATGCAATATCATATAATTAATTAAAGAGCCTATTTAAGTTCTAAGAAGTTTTAATTGATATGCTTTAACGAAGAGAAAGTCTTAAAACGAGTCGTAGCGCCCTAAAATATATTTTCGCCAAAATTTTGATATTAACATCCTTAGGTAGTTACAGGATCTTCATTGTTTCAATATTCCCAAGATATCAAGGATATACTATGAAATATACTATGCACGGTACGGAAAACTTCTAAACATATACATTTTTCTTTCCCTATTGATGATCATTTTAGAATAATATGATGCAATATAAAAGGGAAAAGTTGGAGTCCTATTATGAGAAAAAAGAATTAAAAAAAAAATGAAAATAAACGCAATAAAACTGTCAAATGTTAAAGTGGGCGTTAATGGGACAGGTTACAATAATAAAGATCATTCAACATGTTCAAACTTAATAAATTAATACCGATATTCAATGAACAAGAAAAAATAGAAAGATTTTGAAGTGACACTTTACCGATCCTAGTGAGGATGCTAGAAATTGTGACAAGTAATTCTGTCTAAGAGACCAGACACTCTCCTAATTAAGAGCTCAATATTAATGAACATGAATGAGCATCAAGGGTAAGAGTGCATCTTAACTCTAGCTGAAATATTTTCTAAAATATTCTTAAAACACTTGATTTAAGTTTTCAGAAACTACGGTCAACAAGAACGTAAACAGAGACACTATCATCTACTTTTTGATTGGATAAAAGGACACAAATGTCTGAAGGGTACATCAAATAGACATATATATGTAGTTCTTAAAGTCCTCAGTCAGAGCATTTAACGAGAAACCCTTTTATTTAGTATCACCCTATTTAAAGTCTAAAATATTATTAGATTTTCAATATTATTCAACACTGGTAGGGATAAATTTTACAGATATGCTCAACTGGCTGGCCTAATAATTGAGAGATACATGTTAAGTAAAAAATGCATCCAAGGACAGAATGACTTTGTATTCATTGGAAAGTGAAGAGTGCTTGAACATACAGGTACTAAATTACTTGTAAACAGAATATTTTTGAAAGGATAACAATAAACTAAAACATAGGTAATCAGAAAATACATAGCTCACCTCAAAAATATTGTCTTTAAGTAAGGCCAATTCCACAATTTACTAACATTTTAGAAGTTTACATCTAGAAATGCAAAAATTATGCAATTTTGACATATTTTGATCTTATAGGGCCTGGGACCTGTTTAATTACTTGGAAAAAGACTTACCCAAAAGCTTCAAACTAGTTGTCCATCACGAAAATGAAATTCGAATTCAGCATCTGAAGCAAGTTTGTATGAGATTATCCCTTGATGCAGTATCCATGCAAGCTTGGTTCAGATAGGCCTTATAGTCTCTTGGTAATAGACCTGCATCCATAGCTTTAACCTGGTCTATTATCTGGAAAATATATGTCGGATTCAGCAAGTCCATTTGTGTGCATCCTTAGATATATCATCCATGTAAATTTGCTCAACATAGGACATATACCTGCTTTAGAATGAACCTGCTCCAAAACTTGTTAACTTATCCGTAAAATGTAGGTCAGATCCAGCATCCGAAGCAAGCCAAGTAGAATGCATTGTAGCAACCTCTAATGATAAAACGCTGCTTAATGATACAAATAGCATTAAGCGTTGCAATTGCAACTCTTAATGCCATAAATTATTGCATTAATAGCTGACATCATCAACCGCTAATGCTAAATCGCCGCTTAATGACAGAATTATATCATTAAGCGTCACAAATGCAGTGCAACATCGACGCTTAATGAAACAAGCAAATATCGACATATTCGACGCTTAATGATACACACTGGTGTATCATTAAGCGTTGCAGTTGCAACCCTTAATGATATAAAATTTCGAAATCGCTTGTAATATCTAAGAGAAATACACATCCACCTTTCCTGAACAATGCAATATCACTTGTCAAAATACTTATATATGCCCTTGTGCTATATAAATAGTAATTATTGAAGTTTTACTGTGTTTTCTATCTAGTCAAGGGAACGTCTTAAACCCCGGATGTTTAAGAGATAGCTGGAAGAAAGAGATACAAACAAAGGGATAAATAAAATGATATTCAAATCCTTTAAAAGAACCATTTTTTAAACTGAAAATACAGAGGCAAACAAGCAATTAAATTCCTTTTAAATTTATACAATGATTTGAATATTCAACCTGAAATATATATATGTCTCAGATTTGATACAGCTTAACACGTATCACTGTTAACGTTTCAGATATACGTATCGAGATTTTCACTATTTCTTCGTTTCTCCAAATTCCGAAAAAGAGAGACATCAATATTGACAACTTATGTCTAAGGATATATAACAAAGAATACAAGTACATGGAATACATAGAATATTATATATTATGTTGAGAAGAAGGTTCATTTATGCTTTAATAATGAGCCGTGTTACTTGAATACATCACTGTTGCATGATTATTTTAAAATCAATTTTGAATTCTACATGTAGTATTTATCAAATTACAACATACATATTGACTGAGGTTGAAGAGGCTGTTTTTATTTAATTCTTTAATGACGCATATTTCATTTGTAATATTTTTTCTTTCGTTTACATCTGACTAATATTAAAATGAAATAGATTCAAATGAATATAGTTCTTTTTTCGGTACAAGAGAGACCCTCTCTATTCATACTAGTATTCATCAGAAGTATTTCGTTCATGCATATTGAAAGGTCGCATGAAAGGTCCGAATGCTTCACTTGCATTGGTTAATACTTTAATGAGCTACAAAATATTTTGCAACTACGGCCAGATTGGGAGAGGATCGTACATTTTGACAGTGGTTAGCGACGTTCCAAAGTTTTCACTTTAGCAAATCAAAGTTCCAAAGTTTTTACTCTGCATCTCTAGTTAATTATATTAAACTATAGTGAACTATGTAGTTTTCTATAGTACTTTTTGTTAGGGACATGTCCGCTATCTACATGTAACATCAGCCGTGATTGGAAAAAAAACTGTTTTTCAGACTTAATTCTAAAAGGCTCAAGAGCTTTTCTGATATTTCATTTGTCTATGCCGTTTTTGTTGTTGTTGTATATAAACTTTTCACATTTTCATCTCCTTCTCAAGAACCACTGGGGCAATATTAAAAACTTGAAAAAGTATCCTAAAAGGGGATATAGTTCTTTTTACCATGCCTTTTTCCAAGTGGAGATAATCATGAATTAGAGTAAAAATTATGTTATTTTTAAAAAATCTTCTTCTCAAGAACCATTGGGCAAGGAAAGATGTATTGAAAGGTCAGGTAGTGAGAAAATTTGTTCGAATATGCTTTACTGTGGCCAAAATGGCCGATAAATTTTACATTATATTGGAAACATTTTAAAAAATCTTTTTCTCAAGAATCACTAGGCAGGAATACTCATGTGGAATCATCCTTATGTTGTGAGAGGAAGTTTGTTCATTTTGACAGTGGTTAAAATGGCCGAAAAGTTTTACAAAAATATATTCTTCTTTAGCAACCATTGAGACAAAAGATGATACTCCTGTGGAAAGTTTTTAAATTGCTTCTCTGGCAGTTAAAAGTTATATATATATAAAACCTTTTAAAACTTCTTTTCAGTAAAAGCCATGCTTAGTGATATTTATAGGGAATTTCATGTAGTGTAGATTCTAGTTTGTTCAAATCATGATCCCCTTGGGGTTAACATCAGCCATGAGTGAAAAATAAACAACTGCTCTAAATTTCAGACTTATGATTAAGCAGAACCGACTAACAGACGAGTATAAATGGTACATGTATACCGAAATAAATCATTCTTTACTGACAATTGCAGTGGAGACAGACTGAAATCTTTCTAGTTAGGAATAGAATAAACAACTTTTGAATAATATAAGATATTATTGTTTCTAATTATTCCAAACATGAAGTACAATGCTTTGATATGCTTGGACTCTTGGTATTTAAGGCATGGCATTCTTGGCGCTACATAATTAGATGTTAAATCGTTTCCACATGGTCACTAGCTCATTTGATTCTATACATAAAAGTAATACAAATACAAGGAAAGAAAGAAACACAGAAGTCTTTCTGTGTGCTGTCTAGTTGGCAAAAATAAGCACGAGCTAGAGTTTTTATTGCAATGACATCTAATTAATTTTCATTTTTTTATCGTTATAAAAAAAAACAAAATTTGATTGGAAATAATTACTTGAAGACCCTGGGTATCACATGTAATATAGATGATTAAAAGAAACGTAAGTTGCATATAAAGCAAGTTTGTGGCGAAATTTTCCAAGTAAAGAGGAGGGCCTCTAAAAATGGAGGATAAAAAAAAAGAAAAAAAATAATAAAAAATCCCTAATCTTCCCAAAAACATTAAAGAAATATTTAAGGTCAAGATCTAGTAAATAACTTTAGACTAATTTTTTGTTGCTAGATCCAATATGACGTCATAATCAATTTCAACTTTCTTTTTCCCGTACTTTACGGCTTTAGCAGAATTATGTAAAAAATAGAGTATTTTCATGACATTAAATTTGAAATCATATGAAAAGTAATCCGATACATATTAAATTTGATATTGATTTAAAGAAGAGGCCACGAAATACTAATTACCGTTTTCTCGTAGGCAATATACATTTCCTTTGTCGAAAAAAAACTTGGTTTTCCATTGAAAATGGCATTAAAATACAGTTTTACATCTTGTTTACCACAATTATACGTGAAAATTTTGTGACCAAGCTAATTGTAAAGCATCAATAAAGGAATTTATTTCTCAAATTTGATAAATCTGTAGGCACCTTTCATTTACTAGTTCTTGACCTTAACTTAAGAAGGGTTCTTCTCTGGTTTCTGACTAGATGGAATATTCAAAGAATATTTATTTATATTTAT